ATGTTAAACATTGCAGAACTCATTTGCATGTTCTTACTGTGCACTAATAGATTGTTTTCATTTCAGTTGTGTCTAAAGTATCTTTATATTCTTAACTAGATCCTCAGTTTAAACGGGGGAAGGAAAAGGGTGACAGGTCTTTGTTTTGCTGTTTAATGAAAAGGGAATTAAAGGAGCACTGTGAGCTAGCTTTGTGGAAAGCCTGCTAATTTGTACAGTTTGGAAGATTCTCATCTGATTCAGGAAAGCACATGTATTCTGACTGCAGAAAGCAGCTGCTTAAAGTAAGGGTGCTCAAACACATGTTCATCCTAAAGGATGTGCTTTGCGGTTACTGCGTGTGAGTTCTGTTGAACAGTGGCACTTTCCAGGAGGAAGGTGTATAATTCTGGAAGGTACAGCTCACTTGATTGCTAGCTGGACCAGCTAAAACCTGGTAAGAAATGATTTTACTTGTAACCATCCATTTTAATGAAAGACTGTCACCCTAAATTCCCGAGAATGCCAGTTTTGTGTCCTTGCATCCTGCAAGTATGTAAAAATACTTCTTTACTAAGCTACTATAATAGAGTTTCTCATATTTTTCTAATTATACATTACCTACAAAGAGAGGTGCCCAACACAAGACTGACTTTGCAAATTACTGGAATCTCCCAGAAGAAAGATCATGTTGTCTCTCAATTAAAGAACAAATTGGTTCCAGATTTTTTTATGTCAGGAAATCAAAACAACAAAGGCCAAAAATTAAACAGACMCATCCAAATATTTTTTAAGTAARTTTTCTTTGTGAGTTTCAAGAGCTTAGATTGTTACCTTGTCAAAGGCCAGGAAAACCCGGAAGTGAAATTGAAWTACTTTTACTTATCCATGCTGAGGCAAAAAGTAACAGGGAAAAAAGATTGTAACCATAAATGTTAGTTAACACAGACATTTAATTTTAAGGTAGTATTTCCTGTTTCCTAATATGGCCTATAGTCATTACAGGCATCAAGTGTTGTGATCATATAGCAATATATATGAAATTGAAGTGTATTTAGCATTTACTGTGCTATTCATCCTGAAGCCTGTTTTGCCAGTAAATTATGGTGGGTGTATACTGGGTTCCTTGGGCACAATTAGACATGTTCAGAAACTATGCAGATAAAAACCAAATCATGTGAKAAATTTGTAGTGTTTGGGTAAAAGTCTAGGGCCAGCAAGCTTTTCAGTGCTCATTACTTTRAAAGACCAGTTAGTCAGAATTTCTCTTCTCATTTTCAGGGGAGGCTGTCACTTAGTAGTGTTTATCCAAAGTTACCATGCAGTGACAGCAGAAGTGTTTGCTGTGTAGTAAGAACAGACAGCACCATGTTCCTRTAGGGCTGGTCAGGTACTGGAAGGGGTTGCCCAGAGAGGTGGAGCACTCTGTCCATAGAGTGGATGAGGACTTAGCTGGATATAGCCCAGAGCATCCTGGTCACATTAGGCCTGCTTTGAGCAGGGGTTGGGGTAGGGACCTTTTTACTGCCCTAAACTGTTCTGTGGTTATAACCAAGGAGCTGTGTCCAGTGGTCTCTCTATCAGAGGGTTTTTAAATGGTAACCGCTGTGAGATGTTGTCAGTGTATCTTGTGGGTCTGTGATTCTGACTGCTGTAATGAGTTCTGTCTTGATGTGGTAATGAGTTATCATATTCAGTATTCATCTCTCTTGTTTTTGTCACAGTTCTGTATGATTGTGTCATTTTTGTATTATTTGAAATTATTTCTTCTATAAAATAAAATAATTTGCCATAAATAGAAAAATGAGTTTTCTTATATGTCAGAGATTTTTTAAATTTTTTATATTTGTCACAATCCTGATGCTTTCATGAAAAACATCATATTTTGAATAACCCTGTCATTTAGTTTAATGTAATGCATTTTCAAATAAAGGTAAGASAGGAAATCTGGGAAACTGAAGACCTAGAGGGGTTATACTGAAGACCTGAAAGAGATGCAGGGTGTAAGGAATGGMAGGTATGTTCTTCCAAGTGCTTATMACTCAKGATAAGTTGACAGGTATAGCAGAAGCTTGTAATTGAATATTCCCAGAATTCTTGGGTAGYTCCACTTACAACACTTTGAACTGCCTTTTTTTCATAACAAACCTTTGTAAATTTGAATTAAAAGCAAGTTGACATTATTAGTTCTGTAATATATTATGACTAATTTTAAGGTGGAARTCACTCAAAAGAATACCGATTGACTTTTTTAGGCTGGAGTTTACYGCTGCTTTCACAAAGGAAACATTAAATCTGCATAATTACAGAAAGGCCATTTCTCAGTTTCCATCTGCAACCCTAAGTTGCAGGAGCACAGGCAAAATCATAGCAAGGACATGTGACTCCTGTCTCTCCGGTAYTTGCAAGGCGTCAAGGGTATGACAGAGTTGAGGTTATTTTTAAACAGTCTGCTAGAAATAGTCATTTGGAACAGCCACCGTCCCTGTCTTGCTGCYGTCAGGAGCAACAACAGAAGTATAATGGGTACGTTGGGTTGTGTTTTCTCTTGACAGAATGAAGTCTTGTTTGTATTTCTTGCTGCAGTTCTTTTAAGCACTTTGCAGGGCTTAAAGGTAAGTGTAGTTTAAAAAGAATAATTTTTTTTAGGAGTTAGATGAACTATGTGTTTCATTTTCAGTGGATGTAAAACCAAAGTTTGAGTTTTTAGGGAAGAGGACCCATCACAGCTTGTTTTGACAACAACCTCCTTTCTAACTATAGTGTTGCACATCTTTGAGAGGAAGAAACATTTATAGCGAGACTTGAGAAACTGCAGACTAACAAAAGCAAGAGCAGTCTTCTCTAAAACATCATGTGAAGAATTTTTTTTTCCTGAGATCACACAATTGACTGAGGACTGAAGAAAATACCAAGGAGTAAAGTTGATTTGGTTTTGGAATCTGTAAATGCCAGTTAAATCATTTCCTTGTACTTGGAAAACGTCCATATTCTTGGATTTAAAAGCTTCTTAGGAGCTGGTTCTGGTTCCTTATGATTTGTGAAAATCTCTTTCATTTAAGCATACATAATCAGTATCATTTTCAATAGAGAACCAGGTGTTCTGTTCTTTTAGTTTGTTTGCAGTGTGACCATCCAACTAAAAATGTACTTTTTGTAGGAGATTTAATGACATCAGCTACTAGTAGGCAAGATAAAAACAGGAAATTAATTTAGGAAAGCCTGTCCTGGAAAAAAAATGGGAGATTGAGACCCTTACAGTCATTTGTTAAGTGCASAACATTACTATTCTGTGTCTAGGCCACAGTGTTTGTGTTCAAGTGTGTGTCTTTGGCATAGAAGTTCCCAGGTGTAGATGTTTCACCAAGTAAATGCTGCTTCCTGTTTTCCTTATTTCCCTCTCATAAACTGATGGAAGGAAATTGCAGTTGTATTATCAAGAAAATTAATCAAGTGCTCAGTGTTTAGCTTCCTTCACAAATTCAATTGGCCTATTAATACTGATTTTAATGGGCACAAAGAGCAGACACTGGCAGGAAGCTGGGACTTGTATCACTTTTCCACATTCCACTGGCTCCATGGTTATGAAGGCCCGGGGCTGTTACTGGTCTATGAATAGTGGGGATTATGCTCTGCAGTGGTGTGTGTGAAGGGCACAATCAAACCTCTTCTCTAAAGGCCTGCTTCTTGCTCCCCAAAGGTGTGGGAGCTTCAGGTGAAGTGTTTGAATTTCACAATAAAATCCAGTGTGTGGCTTCTGCATGGCAAGTCACGATCAGAAATACATAGCACATCACACATTACTACTCGAACACACTGGGACAAAAAGGTCTTCAGAACAGCAGTCCTTTGACTTTGAAGTGTGTGGAAGTCACGTGTGTGCCTGCAGACACCTGTGGATGTTTCCATGGGTGTTTGTGCAAGACCTCCCTCTACCTGGCTGTTTCACCTGCTTGGGAGTACAGAGCCCCTGCCCGGATACCTGTAAGGATAAAAACAGACTGCACAATGTACAAATATGGGAAGGTGAGTAGTAAGGTGGTCAATGTCCTGAAATACAACACACTGCACACRTACAAACATGTACAGGGTCTTCAGAAAGAAGGCCTGTGTCTTCTTTCTGAAAGAAGAAGAAAGAAATTACCACTTCTGCCCTGTAGAATAGAGCCCTCGTGGCTTGYACAAAATCTGTGCAATTTGAAATTTGGAAATTCTTAGCTTCTTATACAAGTATTGTATTTGAAATCAGATATATGACTGAGTATGGTAAAATTCTTAAATACCCCTCTTGCCCCTCAAAAAATAAAAATGCTCRAAATTACAGTTCTGAGATGCTATACTCAGTTAACCAGAATGGTGAAAGTCAGGCTAATTGCCTCTTTTTAAAATATTTTTAGAAGTTCTAGCTTTTCAGTATTTGGGAAAGCTTAAGTTGAAGCTTAAGGAAAAGTAGGCTGGCAGATAGGAGAGGACCCTTCAAGCAATGGCAGTTGCAATGTAGAAAAGGCAGAAGGGCAACAAGGGGAAGGATGGATGGTGGGGCGAAGAAGAAGTTAAACTAACAAGGATGAAACCTTTAAGAAAAGCCTGCAGAATACGAGTATGACACAGATGTAGGGAAATCAGTCTGAATAAGCTTGTAATGCAGTTCCAGATGGAAAAATGCAAGGGATGGTGAAATTGCAGTTTGTGTCATTTTCAAGCTGCTGTGATTGYATATTATATAGGGCACCCTGGGCTGTCGAGTCAACAGGAATCCTTGCTGGCACGCACACAACCTACTTCCTATGATTTTACCTCGTGAAAAAYCTGCATGTTGGTGCTGTTGCAAAAAAATGCAGAGAACCCTTAGCTCAGGTTAGGGAGGCGGAAAAGCAGCGTGTGCTGCGATGGTGACGGAATGGGCAGGGCAGGATAAAGAGGCTTGCAGTTTAATCCTGCAGGATTGCGGGCTGGTGCGGCTCCCCGATCAGATATCCTATAGACGGAGGATGCAGTCACATGATTGCTGCTGCTTCCTCCCCATGACATCACTGCTGCTGCAGCCATACCACCCAAGGAAGGATGCTATTAAAATCATTGCGATTGGGCTAAATGATGTTGCATTGCAGGTAAGCAACATAATTCTTGGAAAAAAAGATCATTTGCCAGTTGCTCTTGTGCTGTAGTCCGGGAGCTGCAGCTCCGTGGGGCAGGATTTCTGCTGGGAAATAAAGCGGCACATTTTCTGTGCAAGCATAGGGTTTGCAGGTGCAGAGGCTGCCTGCTGGCTCTGTGCTGCTCTCCCGGCTGACATCTCCGGTGGAAATGCTGCCAGATGGAGCTTTATAGCTAAAGAAGGCCCTTTGTTCCCTGTATTTTCCRATGGCTCCTTCGGGTGGCTGCGGAAATCTGTATTTACGTGAGCAGCCATCATCTTTCAGTCGTGCAAAGAGAGCAGCAATGGTGTTTTGCTTGCAATCCCTGCTTTTTTTTCCGCCCTGGATGCTTAAAGGAAGTTGCTGTTGTGTCTAAGCTTATAAAGAAATGAGGATTAAGTTGTGTGAGAGGTTAAGAGGTGTATTTGGGGAAAGAGGCTTTGCCTCTCTTGTTAATTTTTGCTGATGTGGTTTCAAAGCACCTCGTCCGACAGGTTTCCTGCATAATTTGCAGGAAGAGGTCAGTAGTAAATTTGTAGTAAAAGGTCAGTTTTTCYTCGTCCAGTATAAATGAAGAATCCTTTTCCAAARGGAACATACGAGACGACARGTGGATTTTTGCTTCTTTGCAAAAYGCCTGTGACCAAAAGKCTAAAAATCCAYGGTAAACTCTGCTTTTRGACTTAATATTTGTGGAAGCAAAGTCCAGAGTCTGTTTCCCTGATGTGGATGTTTAATTGTGTGCTCTGTACAAATACATGAATATATATCTGTAAAAGAAAAAAATTAGGATTCTTCTATGGGGCTTTTTTCTGTATAGCTTTCAAAATAGATTTTCGGGTTTTAAAATTTTGAATATTTTTAAATGTTAYTCTAATACAAATGGTACAATGTGAGAAACTAAATTAATTTTTGACCTTATACTAGTCAGAAAAAAAAATATGGGTTTTTTTTTTAACAATTGTGATAAATAATTCTGTGCCTTTGCCAGATAACAGAGGATGACTCAGCTGCAGCTTCATCTGGCAGAGGGTCAGGTGACTCTTTTTACTCCTGGTCTACAGGAAGTTCTTTTTATTCTTCCAAATCCTCTTATTTGTTCAAATAAATTTCTCCCACTGTTGGAAAAATCTGAAAATTTGGCAGGCCTAGAGTCTGTGTGCTCACCCATACATTCAGGGGGCGATATTTTGGATCTCCCATGCTGAAGGGGATTGTACATCCCAATGAGAGGTGAATTCTGGTTTCCAATGATCAGGTATTCAGCTGTGTCAGGATCAGAAAATAAAGTGGGGGAGGAGTAGATAATGAATTATTGAAGTACAAAAGGACAGTGRTTGTTCCAAACTGAAGAGAAAAATAAATTTCAATTTTATTTTTCTCCAACAGGACCTCTCTTGTTTTTTCAAGACTGAGCCTCTGAAGTGATAGAAATCCAAACCTGTTGCTGCATGATGTGATGGGGGCGGGGGTGGATTGCATCCTGCCAGTGCCAATGCTGGGTTTCATCTCCTTGATTCCCTCTGGAGGCAAGGCTGGCTCAGTTCTCTCCAGCTCTGGCTGTGAGCCGAGCGAACCTTGGCCCTTTGCCCACCCRGGGCTGCCACGCTTGGGTTCTACAAGTGCTGTGGGTTCCTCCTACTCCAGATCGTGGTTTAGTGCCCCATGGAAGTACGTGCCAGGCTGTGGTTCTCCTGGCCCCTCAATCTGAGCCAGACATCTGGGCCACAAGGCAAGGCACCAGCCTTGTAGCTACGCTGGGGGCCCTTGGAAATTAAGGACATAATTGCTTTAAGAGTTTTTCAGTGTAAAAGGGGAACCCTGGAGACATTCCCAGCTGGAAGGGGCTCTCCTTGGTAGCACTGGGGTGCCACGTGAAGGCTCCAGCACTTGGCCTCATGAGTACTCGGCCCCTGTGCCCATCTTACAAAGGCTGTACCTTTTCAAAGGAAGTTACTGGTAGCTTTTAAAAAGGGACCACAGGAGAATGAGATGGTGAGCATCGACCATGGGTCAGAGAATTTCCCCTCTGCCTGAACCAAACAGGCTCCTCGGAGTGCTGTGACCTCCTGGGGCTGGGAGCTGCTCCATGTGAAGCTGTTTGCTGACCTGGAGGGGAAAGGGAGCAGGATCCTGACTTTAACCAGGTGCTGTAATGGGGGAAAGGGGATCCCTCCAGCCCTCAGTCTCCTCCACAGTCCAGAGCYGTCTTGCTCGTGTTGGTGGAGCCTCTCTCAGATCTGACCAGCTCCCAGCTCAGCACGGTGCTCAGCCCTCAAAAGCAGTGTGGTACCCAGAGGAACCAGTCCTTCTCCTGGTTGCTTTTGCCATCACGCTGCAGCTTGTGGGGTGCCCAGCAGGGRTGTGTGTTTTAATTTTTCCTCTTTGTGAAATGGGATCAGGTTGTAGAGAAGGAGTCCTAATTCATTTTTGGTATGTGTATACAAACACACCGGGTGTTGGTTTTTTTCAGCTTTCTTTATTTCTAACCTAGCAGAACCAAAAAAATCACACACAATTAATGTCAAAAGAGAGGCTGGCCGGGTTACAGTAGGCTGCTATTCCTAAAGCACTTTTAACATTTTTCTCTTAAGCATCACCCCAAGGAAAGGGTTTCCCAGTCCTGTAGAAGCAGGAGCTTCCTGTCCGTGGGGTGAAGTAATTTCTCTGTAGCTGTGCAGCAGCATCAACTGCTGTGCCCCTCAGCATCAAACACAGCAGTAAAAACCAAAAGTGCCCTGTGAACAGAACAACATTACCCTCCTGTGCGAAAATGACTCACAGCCCCTGTCAAATCAYGAGAAGTGACATGGTAGAACAGATTAATGGCTTTTCCAGTGTGGGTTTATCAGCTTTATTTCAAGCTGAAGGCTTGRAAAGGTTTTCAGCAAGAGGTACATTGAAATGCCTTTGAACATCCCATTTCGGGAGGGAACTGTTTGGGAGTAATTCTGTACCAGGACACTTCCCTTCTGACAGTGCAACTCTGTTCTCTCTGAATGCATTTGCTTTATTTTATTTTATTTCTTTTTTTCAGTTCCAAACTTGGTTTTGCCTCCTTAATCTTTATTTTTTTTTTAAATTGAAGAGACAAAGAGCAGCACTGGAACCCCAGATCTGGTGCTGCAAAGCTGAGCTGTGTGTAGCATGAGGAAGAAAACTCTGTAGAACCCCTGACTCTTCAGACGTGGCTTAGAGCTCTGTGGCAGTAAAAATAGTGGGTTCAGAAGGGAAATTCCCCCTCTTATTTGTGAGGCAGGGAAACCAGAAATAGAAACCATACATGCTCCTACACTGCTAGGACTGGTTTCCAGTGTGTCCAGGCTCCTGAAATGTAGTTTCTCACCCAGAAGCTGAAGGCYTCCAGAGTTTTACCTAATCAAATCTTGCTTCCTTCAAGAAGTAAAGGAGTGTGGTGTTGATACAGTCCATGGGGCTCATCTGCCTGAGCTTCTGGGCTGCTAACAGAGGGGCATCCTTTAATGAAATGTTTCAGCTCAGTTCAAAACTGCAGATGGATGTTTCAGAGGCAGTGATTCTTCCCTCCTGCTTTTTCCACAGCCTCAACATCTGCACTAACAAATAAATTTATTGGAGGGACTTTTAAGACTCACTGGAAACAGAGATGTGAGTTTAAATTTTTTTTATACAGAACCAATTTTGGCAAAAATTCCATTTGGAGCTTGCAGGGAAAGAGCTGGGATTTTTTTTTTCCAGTTTGCCTTTCTGATATAACTCAGCAGCTGAACTARTTTTGCTCAGACTTTCCAAGAAAACTTGTAGGGGAAACATGATATTTCATACTGAAAGAAATTGGTTTCTAAAGGGAGAGTCATTGTGGGACGGAGCATGGAGCAGGATGCCAGGGTATGATTTACCTCTCAGAAGAAGAGAATGCCTGTCAGGAGGAGGAAAGCAGGGAGTCTGGCTGTCATAGAAGGGTGGGAAGCCCTGTTGGTTGGTTATGAGCTCTGGGGTGCTCTGGTGTSCCCCATGTCACCCCCCTGTGCTCCTGGCCAGCCCTGTTCTCTCTGCTCACCCYGTGAGTGTGTGTGGTGGCTGAGGAGGGGCAGCTGAAGGCTGTGGTTTGGTCAAGGCAGTGCCTCAGTTTTCTGCCATTTATCCCCAATGATCCCTCCTGCCTTTCCCTTCTCTCCCAGACCCTCTCCCCTGTGATCTGCTGCTCTGTGTTTTKTGAGCTCTGCTATGGCTTTGTAATTTTTTTCCATAGGGGTTATTCAGGGTAAAGCTGAATATCAAAGATGTGACTGTGTTTAGCKTGACCACACGATCATAGCTGGAAACTCCATAATATGTGGTGGTGGGGCCATACAATAAAATGCTGCAATATTTTACAGTACTGCTGCTGATAGTGCAGMCTGCCTGTGCTAGTGGGGTGAGAGACTGAAGGTTTGCAGGGCTATTTACTTGTACCTGGAGGCCCTGCAATCAGTCCCTGAATTGTTGGAAAGGCATTTGCCAATTTTAATGTCTTGTTTCTCCTCTGTATTTTCTCAGTTTATAGGGAAAACTTCTTCCCATGTTATGTTTCCAAAAGAGGTCTATAAGTGGGTTCAGCGTTTTCTGCTTTTTCCAGGAGTCTGAACTTGGTAACTCTAATTTAAGGCCATTTTAACACCTTTTTATAAACTTTATCATTAGGACAGAAGTCAATAACTCAATTGGCTTGTTCAGTCTGAAGCTTCTAAATTTAATAATCTTAAATGGCCTGTAGATACTTTATTTAGAAAAGCACCCATTTAACTTGCAGGGGATTCAACCTGCTTTCTTTTGCTGAAGACTTCTTCCTTGTAAAATCACCACCCAACAGCCTCTCACTTCTTGTTGAGAAGGATGTTTAATCACTGTTTGTCTGTCTCCTGTATCCTGTGTAATATCACTTTGCCATTTCTAAATCATCTTCTGTGTGGCAGGTGGTGGAAGGGGAATTGCATCCACACCAGCTTGGCCTTCCTGGCTCTGGGCCAAGCAGATCTTGGCCTCTGACTCTTCCCCAAGATGTATTCCCCTAATCATCTCCCTGCCCTTTTCATTCATGTCTTTCATGGTGACCCTGTTAATAATCTTGCTCAGGGTCTCCTCAGCTGTCAGGCTCATTTTCTCTGGCCATGTGGCGTAACCATGCTCTGCTCTAGGAACTTTCTCYCTCAGCCTTATCCTCTTAGGGCTCTTTCTGAACAGACTCTTCCAACCCAAACCATTCTGTGATTCCGCTCACTGTGCTGGCAGCACTGATCTGTTTGCCTGGATTGAGGCCCTGGGAGGAGAGTGCTCTGCATCCATCTGTGTGGCTGGGTCTGAATTCTTGGGAGTGGGGATGGATGGATGCTGGCAGAGTACCCAGCTCTTGGGAGGAGGCGCCTTTGCTTCACAGATCACCTTGAGCAGATAAAGGCCATGGGGCTGGGGCACCATGCTTGGTCCTGGAACAGTCAGTTCAAGTATTAGGGGCACAGAGTGGCAAACCATCTTGCAAAGGGGTCTTGTGATGATTGCCAATAAATTGCATTGTTGTTAAATTGTTCATTGTTGTCTGCTACAGAAAATAAATCCCAAGGATTTTCACAGCCCCCATGCTGCTTCATTTTTTGCAGTAACTGCTGTCATGTCACACCACGTGAGCACAGCTCATCTGACCAACCATCCACGTCAGTGGTGGGCTCAGCTCTGCTGGAGTCATGATTGAAATGATCTTGAATCATTTCAAAAGCTTTGTGCCTGGAGTAGGATCTCCTCTGTTCTGAGCATTGAAAAGCCCCGAGACACACCGTGTTCTCTGCTGTGTTGGCTAACACGTGGCACATTTGTAAGAAATGCAACAGGTGATGCTTTGGACWTCCTCCAAATGTGAGTTGTGAAGCTTGCAACTGGCATTTAGGCTTCTGCTTTCTTCTCCCAGCCTCTTGCCAGGTACATTTACCCGTTATTCCACAGCTGAAGAGAGGAATTCTYTGCTGCCTGCATCCTGTCATATTTTACACAGCAACCCCCACTTCAAGGAAAACAGCAAAGCGTAGAGGTGAACGTTTGTCTGCCAGAAACGTTTGAAGTGTTGAAGTAATTCAGTAACTGAGATCTGTTGAAAGTAACCTGAAACTAGTTGGAATAGCATTAAAAATCATACTGCCTCCTCAGTGCAATGTATCCAATTAAAACAGAAAACAGGATGAGGAGAACATGGCATGGAACTAGCATGTCTAGCAGCAGTAGGCCAGGGCCAAGACTTTTCCTTTGATGGCTGTTCAGCTAGTTGTTTTCCATCAGTATCCTTTTCAGCCTCTTTGAACCATGGGATGTTTTGGTCTGTGCTTGCCATGTCAAATACATTTCAAATCTGATCAGTCAGTCAGCTTGCTACCTAGAGCATCAGTTCACTGTGGATTTACATTTGCTCGTGCTGTAACTGTGCTCTAAAGATGAGAGTTTGTCAGCATTTTCACTGGAAATGTGAATTATTGYTCTTCTATAAATGTTAGCTTCAAGCTGATGCCAGCCACATGATCAGTTTACTCACCATGACACTTGCTGGAAAAATGTGACCCTAAATATGATAATGCTACTACCTCTTTATTCTTTAGAAAATAATGAAAAATGAGTAACTGTGACRAGATCTCGTGTCTATGCGGTACCTGCTGAGCTTGTTGGCATGTCCTGCTCCATCAGCAGTTCCCTGTGTTCACACCCTGGCTTCTGTAGTTTGTTTGCATGAATCTCCTTTTTCCTTTACTTCTTAGGTGATTACTTTAAAATTATCTGGTTTCCAGCAATCATAAAGCTTCACAGGCTAATATTTGGACCCTTACTTCCAKCTTGCTCTCATGCTGCTCCTCTGAYATTTGTAGGRTAACTGACTCTGGCAYGGTTAGCTGGGAGATCAGGGACTGACCACCAGATTGATCTGGCCCAGGATTTCTGGAAAATGCCTCAGGTTTTGTGGAGCCAGGAGAGCCTCTGTCAGCAGGCACTATTGCCACTCTAGCGCTGTGACCTCTCTGGATTTGTGACTCAATCCCTGCCAGGACTTTGCTAYATCTACAGGGTCACAGTGGTCTGGCATGGATCTAAATCCAGGGAAGTCAGCTAACCAGAACCCTGTGAGTTCCAGAGATGTGTGGTTCAGTCAGGTTTCTTTGTTTTCTAGTTCAGTTTCTAGAAAGAGCCTGTTTTCAATTATTCTAGCAGRATATTGACTCAAACATTCAGTTGTAGATACAGTGAGCTAGTGAGTAAAAATGAATGCTCACTGTTGAGGCTCCCTTCTGTGCTGTAGGAAATAAAATGGCTGATGGAATTCAACATGGATAAAGGTAAAGCAAAGGGGAAAATGTCCCCAAGAGATGACAGAATGATGGGCTAAAACTGGCCAMTCTCAGAGAGTCACACTGCTCAGTGTTGGATGTCTGCCCAAGGAAAAGCTGGTGGAGTGCCAGAAATAATTAGGAAAAGAATACAGGGACTAAGCAGGAAACAGCCCTCACACAAATTATGTTGCATCTGCAGAAGTAGTGGAAAAGACAGCAAGGATGTCTGAGACATGGTACAACAAAGRGACAAAATACATATGTGATACAATTCCTCAGTAAAACTCAGCACCTTTCTGTGTTTGTAATAAGCTCKCTCAGAGCATCYAAATATCTCAAATGCTGAGGTCTGYGGAGCTGCATTTATAACTAATTCTKCATGTCATGGTATTGCAATGTTTTCTTCTGAATTGGTAGTGTTGCACTAATTAGATCAGATGAAAACCTCTGACATCTCTTTGTGATCAATAAACAGAAATTGTCACTTCTGGGAAGTAATTTGTCCCATTCTGATRTAAATTGTTCAATTCCTCTCATCAGCCATGAAAGGAGTCTGGGTTTTAGTGTCCAGAGTACAGTGCAGATTTCTCATGCTAGATGAGACAACCAACACCACGGATGTTTGTGCTCTTGTCATCATTGGAGTGTATTGCTGCGGTGCACCTGGCTGCAATTCAGGTTTGGATGAGATTCATTTGTGTGTATTAAAATATCTGTACCTCTCTGATTGGTGTAAAGCTCCASTTCTGCTGGCAGAGCCAAAATCTTCTGTGCAAGCTTCACTGGGACGACAGGTTAGCTCATCCTGAAATAAACCTTGAAACTTATGACACATATCGAAGTAAGGTGAGAGAAATAAATGGAAAATAAAGAGAAAGAAGGGGATAGTTACTATGCTTGGTGCTAGGATATAAGAAGGAAACTCTGTGGTACTCAGTTCAAAAGCGCTGTAGCTAGGTTTTATTTGCTAAAATTGTGTTTTGCATAATCTGATATCACATCTCTGCTTTCAAAAGCATAGAACCTGAAGTGAACTTTAGGGCTGACAATCATCCAGTTCACTGCAATTTCCATGTATGCTACCCTGAGTTCCAAGTTTGTTTGTTTTCTTAGTCTTCCATGGCCATGTGGTCTCTAGCACATTTTTTTTCCTCCTTGCACGTGTCATGCAGCACGTATTTTTGGGGTAGATTCAGACTGAAATTGTGATTATCCTACATACTTGTGGTCTGGCCTGGTRCTATCCATCACAATACTGTCATGTGCTGGGCACTGACAACATACTTAAAAAGCTATTTTTTATGTGATGTAACTGGCATGATGGGCAGTTTTCCTGTGGCATGAAGGAAAAAGTGCCAGTGCTTTCAGTGTAAGGGTTTCCAGAAGTTTGTTTATTGAGCAGGGGGTGCTGGCTTGTRCAGGCAGACAGCCTGAGCTGCATGTTCTTTACAGGCTCTTCTTTGCTGTATCCAAAGAATAAAGTGAAGTAATTGAGCTGCAAAATATCACAATGTTACAAAGTAATAATCTAATCCTTTCRCCTCATTTCAGCTTCCCTTTCCACTCTTACCAAACACTGAGCTCAAGGTCCTCTTGCAACTTCAGCTCCTGTTGTCAGCCCTGTGATCCCCCCTTCAGATTCCCATTTCACTCAGCAAATGTGGGAGCTTGGCCAAGTATTGCTGTTCTCAATTGTCACTCCTCCTAACTTCTGCTTTTTAAATCACCCCAGTCTTGTGGCAGCTAATTTGTGCTCTGCAGTTCTGCACAGGACACCTGCTCTGCACTGAGTTTCCTTCCCCAGGCTGTGATTCACTTGTTTGGTTCTCTTTCAGGCAAACGTGCCAAGGTGCTGGGAGATTACTCCATTTCCGCATTTAAAAGGGTTTCTATTAAATGCTGACCTGTCAGATAATGCTTTTCTGAGCTGCTTGTGCTCTGCACATTGTCTGTGTCATCCAAAAACTCTGCACKGTGGAGAGCACAGACTGACAAAGCTGAGTATGCGCACCTACTACATTGTTAAAGTCATCACTAAGGCAAAAAATTAAATGGTGAGGTTTCAGATAAAACAGTTGAAAATGGGGAGAGGGGAAGGAAGGAGACTCTAAATAAAGAGGGCTGAGCAGAGTATCATGGACAATCCACTAAAACCTTTTCTGCTGCATTTTGGCTGTTCCGATWACAGAATTGGAAAATTTCCTCACAGTTTCAAAGATCCAAATTCTTGTGAAATTCCCATTTCTAAATCTGGTGGAACCAAGTGGGTTGCAGTCACTGGTGTCRTGCTGGCCTCATCAGTGACCAGCAAAAGTTCTCCTGTGTCAGTCAAGGAGCTCCAGGCTCTGCAGGAACATTCTACACAACCCCTAAAGTCTGTATATGTCCCCATTCTTTTTATCGATTTTCTTTTTCTTTTTTTTTTTTTCCTGTAGCTCCATGATAACTTTTTTTTTAGATGCATCATTTCAGATTACAAACCCTACATATTCTCTGGAAGACTCAATTTCCCAGGCACCTATTTTAGAATGGATGGGATTAACCATCTTTAGAGCAACAACACTTTTTAAAGTGATGTAGAAGTGCACTCAGCTGCCTCCTCCTGCCTGGCTGCTGGAGCCCTTGTGTACCCAGCTGCCACTTTCTCTTGTGCAGATTCAACCAGCAGCTGAGCTGTATCCCAGAGGCACACACACAATAACTCTTCAATTGGTGTGGGGGGTGAGCTTTGTTCCTGGTCATGGTCTTCATATTAGCTCTGGCAGATTTGTGTCTCTTACATATTTTGATTCTCATTTCTCCACTTTTGCCTGTGTCRTTCCAATGTTCCTGATCAGACCACCTTGCTGGAATAGACGTTGTCATATTCCTACATGCCCTCATCCATTAAATGCCTCTGGTAACTGTTGATTGTAGTTTGGAGACAGGTATCTTCTATTTCCTCTTGTGCTTTAGTAGGATATGTGGTAGATATTTCCCATCCTTCTTTATTAGAAACAAATATGAAGAATTTGTGTGTGTGTCCCAGGACTGCTTTCATGATGTCTTCACTTCCTGGCTTGTGGAGGTATTTYGGAAAACTCGGTTCTGAAATGGCAGAGCTGCATGAATTTATTGACCAACTCCTTTTTTCCTCTACATGCAGATCCTAATATGGTCAATGCAGGAGACATGAATGGTTCAGGGAATCTGATGGACTTTCTGGATGAGCCTTTCCCAGATGTTGGCACTTAYGAAGATTTCCATACCATCGACTGGCTGCGGGAGAAGTCGCGTGACACYGACCGCCACCGAAAGGTAACGGTGTCAGGCTTTGATTGCGCCACAGCCCTTGGCTTACAGCTGTCCTGCAAGTGACAAAAACAAGCATTTTCCCAAAGTTACTGATTCCTGCCTTGTTACATGACTTGAGGAGAACTTCTAAATACATGGATGTGGGATGTCCTGAGTTTGTAAATWTGTAAGGACTTCTGCAACTTAATCAGCTGAGTATCTCTGAATAAATTTTTGGGACTGCAGGAAGTAGAGAGCAGAGAAATTGTATGCACCATCTAAGAGTTTAATTACTGTAAACATTGTACTCTAAAACTGTCAACCTGAATCAGCAACACATCTAGATATATATATATATATATATATATATACATATGTTTAATTTCAGATTACAAGCAAAAGTAAAGAATCCATATGGGAGTTCATCAAGAGTTTGCTGGATGCCTGGTCAGGATGGGTTGTGATGCTGCTCATAGGACTGCTGGCAGGTATGTATGTGTTGATGCTACAGCTGGGCCTGAAGCATTTCACCAAGGTTGCTGCAGTACCATCTGCTTCTCCTTGTGCTTCATTGTCTCTCCATTGAAGCTTTTTGTTTTTAAGAAAAAAAGACAGCTTTGCAGTCATGCAGTTATGATCCTTAATAAAAATACCTGCTTGCAAAGTCTTCTGAGTGCTGACCTAGAAAAAATGTTTTCSCCAGTAGAGGGATTTTTCTTTTGCTTTGGGAAATCTGCATTTGAGTGCTTCATAGTTGATGGGCTACTTTGACTTTCTGAATCTTTGCTTTGCAGAAGTCTGTTTCTTTTGTAGGATTTGTTTTTCTTGTCATCACTTACTTTAATTCTGCAAGTAGAAAATATGATGTGGGGAAAATGTTGGTTGTGGGCTCAGAGGGGAGCTTCATAAACTGCTGTTTCCACTGAGTTATCTTCTTTATGTATGTGTGAAGGCAAAATAYAGTTTCAGACTTGGTTTCAGATCTGCTTCCAGGCCAGGCAGACATCACATATTTAACAACCTGCTCAAACCCACATGGCAAATTCATTAATTTGTTCGATTTCTCCTGTCTTCTCCTCAGTTTAGCACATCTTCCAGCTTGGAAAGCTGCACTTCTCTGACCCAGCTGAGACAGCTGCCATTTTTTATGCTTTTTCAGTGATGTCAGGGTGCTCTTATGTCATGCTGCTTGGTAAAAGCACCATGTGAAGTTTCCCAGTTTCCAAGGAGTGATGGGAATTTCCTCCTCAGCATCTGTCAAGTTAATATGTTTGTTACAGTTGGTAGGAGCCTCAGAAGTACTGGAGAAGTTACTGAGAAAACATTTCTGAAGTGACATGTTTGGCAAATTACGTTATTTCATAGAGATGTAATTATTTCCASAAAAACTTTGTTGGGAGGGTGAGAWGGGAAGAGAGTCTGATAGACTGCTGCTGAGCCCTGCCTAAAAGTCAGGATTGRTCTCATCTGGGATGGAGAATTCTGCTGCAAATAAAATTAGAGCCCTTGAGGACTCTAATGACCTCAGTAATCCTCTCCCATACAAAGAACGTGGTGTACATGCTCACATTCCCATTTTAGCAAAAACATCCCAGAAGGTTTGATTCAGTTCTAGTTTGCAATGAAACCTTGTGCTGAAATCCTCAAGGTTGTCAAAAGCTGGAGTCAAAGCTCTGATAAGCCCTAACACTGATATGCCAGACTTGGGAATGGGGGTTTAGGGTAAACTGCAGCTGAGGTCTGGTAGCTTTTGCAGTCTTTTCAATGGCAAGGGTGCAGAGGAACACATTTTACATCAAATTAGACAGGTATCTTAACCAGATTTCGGGGAGGAGGAGGTGGTGATGCAGTCAGGAGGCACTTTGTGTTGTTTTCCTCTCTTCTTTAAATATTTCCTGCTCAGAGAGGAAGGGCAGCTGTGTGATCAGATGGGATTGCATGGACCAGCCTGGCTCCTCTGTGGTGTTGACCAGGAATAACCTGGCTCAGTGGATGGGCACTGGGTGAACTCTTGACCAGTTGTGTCCAGGCATTACTGGAGACAAGCAGAATGTGTGGGGGGAATGGGAGAGAAAGAGAGAAGTGGCAGGAACAGTTCCCAGGGTCCCATGGATCATCCTGCCCCTGCTGTCCCTGTGTGGGCATGGAGAGCAGCAAGATGGGACTCTTGGGAAGAGGGGCAGGGGCTCCCACAAGTTTCCAAGAGCACTTGGGTCATTTACCCAGGCCCAGGAGATTAAAGGGAGCTTAACTGATTTAGAAGCCTAAATCCCATCAATTTGGTAAACYTTATCTTTCAGATTTTGCAATTCTTCAAAGGCTGTGCTTCTGCTACCAAAATGAGCCAATGAGGCTGAAAACGGCAATTTTTATTCTCCAGTGCCTCTGCCACTGGGCCCTGTTCTCTTTGCAGTGTAGCTGCATTGGGAAGGTGAATCTTAGGGTTCTGACTTATTAGAAAAAATGGATTTTGACCAGATTAGGTTTCAGTTGATTTATGACTCAGCAGTGTTGGTCACCACAGAGCCACAAGCAAGCAAAATATAGCTGATGGGAGGAGCTGATGGAAGGAGGAAGGAGAGCACCATCCATTTGGCAGCATAAAATGTATATATCACGTCATACATATATGTATCTTGTAATTTTTGCAGTGTCATCAAACTTGCATCCTTTGTTAGTCCCAGAAAATTGTGAGAAAGGGACGTTTAGAGGGGGCTCTGCTCTGGGTTACAGGCAGCACCARTGCATATCAGAAATGTAACAGCAGCCATTGGGATCAGACATGGTTCCATGAGTGAGGGTTCTCACAGAAATTAGCCTGATTGGCTAACATTTACTCAGTGCTAAATGCCCACAGGACCTGGGACATCAGGCTGGAGGGAGATTATGGTGTGTGACACTGTCAGATGGCTGGAAAGGCACTGGGGAAYTTCTGGAAATGAGACTTTGGGAGCCAAAGCCTGCTAATTGCAGAGGGAAGGAACACTAACATCCACAAATATTGTTTGGTGTGAAGAGCAGACAAAAACTGTCCACACCATGATCTAGAAAAAGATACTGAACATTACCTGGGCCTGTCTCAGTTAGAGTTTCCATGTTTTCCTCATGCAAAGCAATGTATGGGGAAATGAGCCTAAAAATTTACATATGGATGCCAATTTTTTTAGGCATTTGTTTTTAAGGAAGTCTGAATTTTCACTGGGCCCATTCCACCTGCAGACCACTGGATATTCCTCAGCCTAACTATTGCTATGGCCAACTGAAAGCATTTGCTATTTATAGATCAGGAAGTGTTTTTGAAAGCAATGTGACAAAAAGTGCCATCATATTAGGGCTGAAATGCTCTGATGCTGAGGCTGGATATGCAACAATTCCCTTTGTAATTCTGTCCTGCACTGCTTGGTGATGCTGTTTTCTGACACAAATGCATGACAAAAATGATCTTTTGAAAGCAAATTTTTAGCATTCTCATTAGTGCACTGTAAAGGAAGAAATTTGCCGTCATCAACAAAAGGAAAAGGAGAGAGGTAGAAGGCTAATATCTAAAATCAAGTTCAGCRTTGTCTGGCTTTGAAGTATTTCATTATTTTCCCTTTCAGGCAGGGGGTTACAAAGAAGGGAGAAAAATTCAGCTCCTTTGATGGGAGAAGCAGGGAGATAAACTTATGTTCTGTTACAGTCTTGACAGCCAAAATAAGCAAAAGAAATTAAAAGTTTGACTTTGAGATGCTGAACTGTCTTGCACTTGCATTAATTTCACTTAAAGTTGCAAAAATTCAGAACTTGGCAAACTTCTAGCTCTGGTCACATAGGTGGTGAAGCATTCACTATTGCATTATTATCCTGGCCCTCCTTATGATTTTCTTCTTTTGAATGCATGTGAGGCTTTTCCCTCCTTATGTGGACCCCCAAGAATTTGGCAGAAGGGGTTAGATCAGCTGCATGATCAAACACATTGTSTTAGTGGTGCTGAGGTGCCTGTGAGTTTGTTATACTAGAAAACTGAATGTTTCAATATGGTTATTAACCTTCTTGGGGGAAAACCATTCAAAAGTCTGTCTTTGCACCTTTTCCTGAGTGGCATTTATATGCAGCTGCCTGTTAAGTGTGGTGTAAGTTTTGAAGATTACAGAAAATGTTAAAGATCCATGAAGAGGTRCAAGAGACACAGCATTTGGTGGYCATGTCCAAGGAATGAAGATTCCTYGTTTTCTGAAACTTCCAGAAAATTGGAGGAGAATTTAGAGCTCACTGCAAAACAGGAAGCTGTGCATGCCAGCAATGCAATGATTCATCATCATCCAGCAATATGGTTCATTGTTTCCATAGAAACTTGGGACAAATGGAAAAGAGTAAGATCTTCATGGAAGAAAATAGTTGGTGCAGACATCATCAGTCCCTTCTGCAACCTTTTTTTTTTTTTTTTTTTTTTTTTTTTTTTTTTTTTTTTTTTTTTTTTTTTTTTTTTTTTTTTTTTTTTTTTTTTTTTTGTCATCCTGTCTAGTATATCTGTATAATTCTTCAGATTATACAACAGAAATTGTTTGCTGCTACCCTGGTTGCCACTGCTGGTCAGTGCAGGGACAAGACTCCTTCTTAAGGGTGGGAGAAGAACCAGTGGGTTTTTTTCTGGTCTTTGGAGTAAGAAAAATGTTCCACATGCTTGAATTATTTGAAATGTRTTTCTGCCTCTCCCCCACTTCTTTTACAGAAATTAAAATCAGAAAACTTAGTTCCGGATCAAATAAACCAGCTCTTGTGTGCCCCAGCTGCTTGGGGTAAAGGGGAGAGCCCTTACTGCTGCTTCACTTAATTATATTCTCAGCAGGAGCCACAAACCTAAAAAAATTGGAAACATAAAACCAAACCAGTTTGCATTTTCTAGAGTATTTTTTTCCTCCAGTGTTTTAGTCCTACTGCAATGCAGTGGTAAATTCTGTTCTAATCCGTTAGTGGTTTCCCGATATTTTGTTAATGATTATTTTTAAAAATAATGATGACTTCTGCGTCCTATTTTATGTAAGAGGGATCTGGAAAACTTAATGACTCTTCTATCAGTTGGTGGTTTAGTTCTTTCAGAAAGTATGGACACAGGGACACAGTGCAGGGCTGTCTCTCTGTGTTCTGGCTGCTCCCAGGCTCCCATTCCTGCTGCTCTTGCCTTCCTGGGGTCCCCCCTGCTCTGAGGGTGCTGCTGCCGGGGCAGGTTCTTATTGCTGATGAACAAATGACCTAGAGAAACAGAAGTTTTCTATTTTTTTTGTGCCTGGCCAAAGCTAGTTTGCCTGTGTCTGTGCCTGGTGGCCACCGGGTGTCACTGTAGCTCTGTGCAATTACGGGGAACACTAAAACGAGAGTTGGTTTGGTACAGGGAGGATTTGAAAGATAATTTTATTCTGCATGTCCAGATTGCCAATGAATGTACACAAATAACAAAAGCCCCATTCTGTTAAGTTCATAAGTGAGAATTTGGCATACACCTTATCTCTTTAATGAAACCATCCTTCTGAAAGGTTTCTGTGTTGGGAGCAGTAAAGCTGTAGGAAAACATAGATAWCCTTCTCCTCCATTATCCCAGTGTGGTTTGAGATCTGTGGCCAAGTGTGTGTAGAGACCCTGCAAGGCATCTTCCCTATCTCARCCAGATGGGACAGGCTGCAGGCCTGACTTCTGTTGTCTCCCCTGTTTTGCCATTAATCAGTATSAAAATTATAATGTTTAAAATAAAAGCTTATGAAAGAGCATTGAAGGTCAGACAAACTCATTAGTGCCCCCAGTTCCTTGGTATATTTGTATTTACTGATGCAGAGAATAGTTTAGATTGGAAGGGTCCTTTAAAAATCATCCTCAACTGGATCAGGRTGCTCAGAGCCCCATCCAACCTGACCTTAATGTCTCCAGGGATGGAAAATCCACYTCTCYGGGCAGCCTATTCCAGTGCTTCACCACCCTCATTGTAAAAAACTTATCCCTCTCTTAGTTTAAAAGCATTATCCCTCACCCTACAGCAGCAGGCCTGATAAAAAGTCTGTCCCCACCTTTCTTACATAACCCCCYTTAGGTACTGGGAGGCTGCTATAAGGTCTCCTTATGTTGCACCTACTTACCCAAATCGTGGGTTTTATTCTTTTATTAAAGTTAGATATATTATGCTTTCAACTTGGTATTTTTTTTAATRCCTGCATTTCTTTTTCTGCATTTCTTTCCCCAGGTACATTAGCTGGAGTGATAGATTTGGCTGTGGATTGGATGACAGACCTGAAAGAGGGTGTCTGCCTGTCTGCCTTCTGGTACAGCCACGAGCAGTGCTGCTGGACGTCTAATGAAACAACATTTGATGACAGGGACAAATGTCCCCAGTGGCAGAAATGGTCTGAACTTCTTGTAAGCCAGTCTGAGGTATGGGAGGCCTGATTATGTTGGGGTCGCAGCAGGCCAGGCAATGCCCTTTTTTCATACTTGCTGATGTTCCCYCCAGAGAGTTTCTCTGAAAGAGGAAGGAATGAACTGAGCACACTGCAAAAAAAGACATTTCCACAAGCAGAATCTGCTTAACTTGAAGGAGGTCCTGTGGTTTCAGTGTGATGGAAACTGGAAAACTCTGAGATTGCACTCTTTTTATCAGCACTAAACTACAAGTGTTTCATAACATGCATAGCCTAAACAGCAGGGGATCTCAGCTGTCTTTTTGTTTTTCCTTTTAAACATAATTTTATGGGGGGGAAAAAAAAAGATCAGCACTGACAAATACATTTATGAGGATATTTTTGGGATTACAAATGGGGTTTTCTGTATTCTGATACAGAGAGCTGCATAAGAACTGCTTATTTATCCCTTGCAATCACTTTCTCTGTCAGACATCAAGACACTCAGCTAGCACCAAAAGCTGGGAAAGAATGGCCTTCCTGGGGGAGGCCAGAATGAAGGATTTGCAGGGGTGTTGGATAGGAAGGGAAAAAGCTAATCTGGACAGATATGCAACTTATATTGTAAGGTTTTTTTTTTCCCCCTTACACTTTTATTTCCTTTTTTTTTTCAAATGGTAATTTTAAATACAATGAATGCTGTGGAGGCAGTGGGGTGCTCACTGCTCCTGAATATTCTCACCACACAATCAGAGGTAAAAATCTCTCAGCACGGTTTCCAGTCACAGTGCCAAATTTCCCTTTGCCACTGGTTCACCCTGGGCTTCATCAGCAGATGTTTTGGGTGGCTGTGTCTTTGTGACAGTGGAGAAATATTACCCTGATGTAAAGCTGCAGGATGGGGATGATGTTATAATTCAAGRGAACAAAAATCTCCCAAAACGTGGGAAGGGAAAAGAGAGGAGACTGTTAAAATTATTAGGGGATTTGGAAATCCTGTGCATGTGTTTGACATGCTGTTGCTTTGGCTGGAATATATAAATGATGCATATCCTTGAGAAAATTTATTTCTTTCTCCTGCTACTCAAACCAGCAGTCATGGCTGTTGTGTGCTGTGGCTTTTAGAAGAGGTTGGCTTTAGCCAGGTGAGCACTGTGAAACTTCACTCACTTTGTGTTCAAATTGGGCTTCTCATCCCCTGTGCTGTGTACTGTCATAGTAGGACAAAAAAAAAGGTTCATATTGGCTTAATTTTAGTCTTTTYCCTAAAACAAATGGGCTTCTAAGATCTGTGGGCTCCTGATGGCCTGATGAAGGCTGTAAATATTATTAATATATCTGTCTGTTCCTGCTATGCTGAAATCCCAGGGAAAACCCAATAAAAATGTGAATTTGTAAAGTAAAAATTCAGTTTTGTTCAAAAGCCTTCTGATATGGGTACATTTTACATCATAGTTCCTGTAGTGGTAAAGGATTCTAGTAGGTATCAAAATACTTTGAACTTGGCTGAGTTTCACAATAATTTTTTTGGTTTTTTTTTTCTATGTTTCACTTTGTGCCACACATTTACATAACRGCCCTATAAGACACCAGTGCACATTGGAGCACAATTTAGGCAAAAACTATTTGGAACAGTTTCCCTAAAGGTACTCTGGTCTGATATGTCTTCTTTTTTTATGCACAACTGTGATTCTTTCTCATCATAGCCAACTAAATTTGACATTTTGAGGACTGAGATTTAGATCAGTTCTTCCTTGTGGTTTTGCTAATTTATGGCTGTGATCAACCCTGTACATATGTTTTCTCAGAGAATTGTGACATTTTCTATGGCATCTCTTGAAAAATGTTTCTATTCTAGTGCTGCTATAAAATGAACTCAAAGCAGAGGCTTGATATAAATTATTATGGAAAACATAATAGCCCATTAGAAACCTACCARGCTGTTTTATTCCCTAATTATTGTTTTGTAGGCCAATTATATCCTTCATCCTTCTGATCTTGAACTTTTTCCAAAGAGGAGGTGAAGAGGGTTTTTTAGTTGTGAGAAACTTTCAAAACCTCAMATTTACTGGCAGATCAAAAGGTCACTGATGACCTGGACTTTCCCTATTCTGCAGATCCACCTTGGTCCCAATTCCAGCTTGGGGAGCTGAGGACCCCATTTTTGATGGCTTACACAGGTCCAGGGTAGGGGAAAGGACCCCTTGTCTTTCATGGATCATAACACTGGATCCAGCAATGGGCTGGATTTGTAYCCCAGGGCTTCTGGATCTCCTGTCATGAAGCTGAGACCTGCAAGATGAGGAAGCCCCTCTGTACCTGGARCCCACTTCTCAGTTTTGCAGCCTTGAATTTGTCAGTCATGAGGACTCAGTATTCTGAGTTTATGATGGTTGTTTTCAATTGTGTTCCATTTGTATCTAAACTGGACTGACACCAGATCTGAAATACTGCTTGGTTGCAAACTAAACTAAAATACAAAATTTTACTCAGGTTCCCTACTTGCTTCATTACTGTTGCTTCCAGGGTGAATCATTCGAGCTGCCATGGGAAAGGTCTCAGCAGGATGAGCTCTGCTGGTGAGCTGCCTCGATCTCTGACTCCAGGGCACATGCTCAGAGCCTTAGTAATGGCATGTAATGGATGAGAAATGAACCATTTGCTATCCTGAGTTACTGCTACTTCACTTCCCAAAGGTTTTCATATTATTAATCATTAGAAACWGCCACAGTTGAACCTGCAGAATGCCAGATATCTGGAAAATGTAACAGTGAAAGATGTCCCAAGGGATAAGATTGAACTGGCCATACAGACTCTTGTGGGGTCCTGCCACAGCACTGTAGGTGTATGTGTGATTGCAGTAACGAGCTGACAGTTTTCTTATGTCTTCTGAGATGCAAAAGAAGAAGAAGAAGTAAAAAGAAACAAAGTTAATTTKACTCCAGTGAATTTAGAAGCAAAGCTACAGCTTTTGTTCAACTTAGTAGGGCCAAATTTTTGTAATGCTGTTGGCCTTCTTTGGAGGTATTCCAGGTTCACACTGACAGGGGGATTTTGCCCCGAGGCATGATATCCAGAGTTTTCTCTAGAGGAAGAGTAAATATTGTCATAGCTGTTTGTAATTGGAAGCACCAGGAGAAGACATTCATGAGACTGTCTTCAGCTGTAGCAACAAAGATCCACGGTCACTGCAGCGGATGTCAATCACTGCAAGTGTGGGATCCTGACTGCTTGGTCTCAGGGTGTTGGGGGATAACACTGTATTGCTTCAGCAATCTGCTGTCATCAGCAAGGACAGCTGCTAACTTCAGCAAGCACCAGAGTACCTTAAAAAATTGCCCTTCTTCCAGATACATCCATAAGGATAAGAGTTAGTGGTGTCCTTACTGCYTTTTCATTTGGACAGACCTGGAAAACGAACATCAACAGCAAAATCCGTGTTGTTAAAAGTTGATTCCTTGTAGATTTGAGAACAGGGAGACTTCTCAGCTCCAGGTTTTTTATGACTGGGAGCAGTCTTGGCCAGCTCTGTTAACTGATACAATTGATTAATGCCTGTTTTCCTAGTTGATTTATCATAATGTTGATATCCAGGCTGCTGTCCTGCAGAGCAGAGGCAGGGGCCCTGATGTTCTTGAGCAGCTGGGATTGCATCCGGTAGGAAGAGTTCACTTGGAGGTGAAGGATTCATACCCATTCATGCACTCAAGTTCATCTCAGTTTTTTATTCTGTAGTGTCATGTTGCTACAGGATATTGTTTGAAGGCTTTAGCTCCTTGTGTCAATTTGATGCTGCTGAGTAGATTCTCTTTTTCCATGTAGGTGGGTTTTTGAAATTAATGTAAAAAAATACTCATGTGAAGAGGTAGAGGTATTCCAAGGCAGATTTTAACGGAAGTTTTGACTTGACCATTGGAAAAAGATAGAAACTTGAAGGTAACTATTGACTATGCTTTCACTATGGCACTGCACAGTCAACCATTGCTAATGATCATTRGCATTCCCATTCTGTCAGAAAAGTAAAGCTATTCAGTTTGARGACAGGCTTATTCCTGACTGCAATGATTTAAAAATATTAGGGCAAAAATGACTGAGATGTGTGAGTGGGTTCTGCCAAGGTGTGGTGTTTTCAAGTTATTTTCAACTGTATCGTGGACAGCACCAGATAGAAAGAAAGGATTTATTTATGGTTTTACCCTTCCTATTTTGAACTGAACTGGCTACTCATACGAACCGGGATGTTATTTGAAAATATCAGCATCTGCATGGAGAACTGACCTTTGGGTACCAGCCCTCAGAAAAATAAGTATCAGGGTCTCATTCCTTGTCCCCACTATGGGATGAACACAGCAAATTCCTTCATTAGGTGCCTTTTCATTACCAATTGCTTTTGCCCTTATGGCATATTTGATGTTTTGCTAACTTTATGTGGGTTAGTTAAATTTTTTAGTGCTTGAGAGATGCTCAGTTTAAGGTTTTTGGGTCCCTTGCAAGCAGACTGTATGGACTAGGTAAGGTAATTATTAGCATGCTGCTTCCTTCCATAAATAAAAGAATTGTTGGATTTTGTAAAGTAATTTGTGCTTCCTGAGGAAAAGCAGCACTTAGCATGAAAATGAAAAATCAGGGTCCATGCCATCATGATCCCTTGTAGAAGTGTGAGATTTGCCAATCTGCATTTGTCTAACAATGTTTGTTACTGTTATTTTTCTAGGGTGCAAGTGCTTACATTCTAAACTATTTTCTGTACATTATGTGGGCTCTGTGTTTTGCTTTCCTGGCAGTCTCCCTGGTCAGAGTGTTTGCTCCTTATGCCTGTGGCTCTGGAATCCCAGAGGTGAGTTCCTCTTTGTGCATGAATATCCAAATACCAAACCAAAAAACAAAAAAAATTACTGCCTTTTCCCATTCCASAACTGTACTGTGAGATAGCATAGCAACAAGAAAATGGTCTTTCCATCTTGTCTGCCTTCATTCCTTTGTCTCTGCTTTTATGGTGATCATCTAAGTTTCTCACAGTTAAAAGTGTTCATATGTCACTGTGACAGGTTAATGCACGTACTTGCTCATTGCCAGAGCATGAATTAGAAATCAACATCTCCAAGAGACATGTACTCACTAGAAGATTATATAAAATTTTCCTAAGATGAAATTACTTGGGCCAGTTACAAATCCAGTTATTTTCTAGGCTAAATTCTAAACAAAAGCAAAACAAAAAAGAAGAGAAAGAGCTACAAAGCTAAGGTTTCCTAAGCTACTGAAGATGCCCATCATTTGGGATGCCTGAAAAATGTCTGGCACACATCTTTTGGAAATTRTGTTGCTGAAAACAATGTAATATACATTATGCCAGTATGACAACATTACAGCAGCCTTGACTTGATTTTCAGTATTTTACATATTGAGCTTCAGTCCATATTTAAGCTGTTAAATGAAGACCCTTGTAATTCAACCAGCACAGTTATTAAAAATCTTGGAAATCAGGGCAATCTTTTGTTAAAAGTGCTATGGAACCACTGGAATTATTATTTAGGAATCTGGCAGAGACAATCAACAGCCCAAAGCKTAGAAATCTTGGCATACTTTTGTTCTTGATCTCTAAGAGAAGCATCCAAATGTTTMAAAAAAACTCACCACAAACAATTTAAAATATTTGAATAAGTTCCATGTTTCAAAATAGTCATGTGTGTCTTTGTTATGTGTTTGATATATTTGTAGTTTTAAGAAGTTTTCATCGTTAACTGTAGAGCTGGTTTCCAAGTGGTAAATCCCTCGTGTGAGGTGATGCTCAGCTCCAGCCCATTTCCAGTCCTAGAGTCCAAACCCAAATCCCACCCTGCAGCCTGTGTGTCATGCATWTGTATTGTTCTCTTTCCTAACCACTCGCTTGCAAAATTAAGACAAAATGTGTAGAAATRTGATCTTTTGGACTTCCTTATATCGTAACACTTGCATGCTTTTATGGCACAGTGATTCCAAATATCTAGAAATTTTTGTGTGTGTTTTATCTGGAAAAAGTCTGTTGTTGTTTATTTGCTTTTTTTYCTTCTTTGTTGAAGTCAATTCCAGTTTAACTCTGATCTTGTAAGCCRAGGAGATATGTGAGAGTTTCATATTTCTATTGATCTCTGTGAGAGTCCTTAGTGCCTGTTATGGAGACCACCCATAAAAGCAGTAAAAGTGTGGTCTGCCTAACCCCTGCTCAGATTTTGCTGTGGGAAAGCTGCTCTACCTATGGTTTCTTTCTCTCCATCACTGTCTCTTTTCAAGCAGTCTGCAACTTTTTAAACTCTGCTGGAATTCTAGCTGCATTTGAAAGTTCAGAGTAGAAAAGGTTTCTTCATCTCTTCAACGTGTTCTTCCTGCTTTCCAGATAAAAACCATCTTGAGTGGGTTCATTATTAGGGGCTACCTGGGAAAATGGACACTTTTAATCAAAACAGTCACCCTGGTTCTGGTGGTGTCTTCAGGCCTCAGCCTTGGGAAGGARGGCCCCTTAGTCCACGTGGCCTGTTGCTGCGGAAACTTCTTCAGCAGCCTTTTCTCAAAGTACAGCAAGAATGAAGGAAAGAGAAGAGAGGTGAGGTTGGCTCACATAATTCTTAATTTCCCTCTCTGGATACTCAGGATTTCAAACTACTCATGGCTTGTGTATCAACATTTGCTTTGTAGGTCCTTTCGGCTGCAGCTGCTGCAGGGGTTTCTGTCGCCTTTGGGGCTCCAATCGGAGGTGTGCTTTTTAGTCTGGAAGAGGTGAGGCCTGGCTGTTCCTTTGGTTCGATAAACGTATTTTAATTTTATACCCTTCTCCAAGATAACTCATTATTTTTCAAATATTCATATGCTTATTTTCCCTTTTAAAACAAAAATAATCTATGATTTCTAGTAATAAGAAATAACCAGATATTTTAGCGTAATCTGAGTAGCAGAAAGGCACTGCATTTCTGGAAACAAATTAGATGACCAATATGGAAATATATCCCCGTGCTGAGGTTTCTCCAGCCTTCAGCTTGCTAATGCATGGACCAAGCTGTCAAGCATTTCTTATACTCTCTAGACAGCAACTTTGGATTTAAATTTGTTGATTTTAAACTAGTTGCTACTTCTTTTCTRAAATCTGAAAATGCTTTTTCTGATACCTTTGTGAACATGTTCTGGCTGTGGTAAGGACTAGTGCTTGCAGTAAAGTCAAACGAAACAGATGGTGATGGTAGTTACAGGAAACACCCTCTGTCACACTCAGTGAAATATTTATGGTCTCTGCTTGTTTTCAGGTCAGCTACTACTTTCCTCTGAAAACCCTCTGGAGGTCATTYTTTGCTGCTCTCGTGGCTGCCTTCACGCTGAGGTCCATCAATCCTTTTGGGAACAGCCGCCTGGTGCTGTTCTACGTGGAGTACCACACCCCCTGGTACATGGCCGAGCTCTTCCCCTTCATCCTGCTCGGCGTCTTTGGGGGCCTCTGGGGCACCCTCTTCATCCGCTGCAACATCGCCTGGTGCAGGAGGCGAAAAACCACCCGGCTTGGGAAATACCCGGTGCTGGARGTGATCGTGATCACGGCCATCACCGCCATCATYGCCTACCCCAACCCCTACACGCGCCGCAGCACCAGCGAGCTCATCTCCGAGCTCTTCAACGACTGCGGCGCCCTCGAGTCCTCGCAGCTCTGCGACTACATCAACGACCCCAACATGACCCGGCCCGTGGACGACATTCCCGACAGACCCGCCGGCCCCGGCGTCTACTCTGCCATGTGGCAGCTGGCCTTGGCTTTGGTCTTTAAAATTGTCATCACCATCTTCACTTTCGGCATGAAGGTAAATYGGAGATGTCTGAGATGGGATGCCATGGGCAGCCGTGCTCAGTCTGGCAGGGCTCTCCTGCCTCCCACTTGTCCCCAACCATGGGACTGTCACTGAGGTGCTGCTGGCTCACCTGCCTGCCAGCACTTGCCCTGCTCTTCCCCGTTCTGATCATCTGCAGTTTTATTAAGTGAAAAAGAAATCTGGATGGGAATTTAAACCCGCGGTTGCCAATAAGCAATTTCAAGATGATTCCCACTGCAGCTGTTTTTTAGATCTCTCATGGATATGGGCTATTTACAATGTTGTTTGTCTTGTTGGATTAATGTCTTAATGTGCCTCAAGGTGGCTGTGCTCAGGGAAGTAATAATTTTAAATTTACTGTTTTATCCATTTAAAACATCACAAAAAATATAAAAGTAGCTGAAAAGGTCTATTTTTTAATCCTTTTAAGCACTATAGCTTGGAAGAAAAAGGGGAATGAATGAGAATACTAACAGATGTGCCATTTGAATATTCTGGATTTGCAGCTTTTTCCCTTCAACAATTCCTTCTCCCCATAAATGAGGGATGAAAGGTCTAAGACCAATTTATCCAAGCTTTCAATATATACCAAGCTGTTTGTGGTGAGCTCTATATATCTGATTAATAGAACACATAAAAAACAGGTTCTGTCTGTCTACAGCTCCCATTACCTGAACATTTATTTCTTGATCTGATGGCTGCAGACAGTGAGAAGTTTTTCKTAGTTATACATTATATTTTATACCATGCTCAAAATGAAAGTATCTCATCTTTCTCTTAAACCCTACACTTGCACTGAGGATCCATTTTTAGCCCTTCACTCTAGAGATTGATTTATGGCTGGCAGCCCATTGTTATGCTTATTCATTAAAAGCTTTGGCTCTTTATGCGACATGTGATTCTTTATTTATCCTATATATTTAAAATCCATTAGAAGCAATTCACGGTTTCTACTAGTCTATAAAAGAGCAGACAAAACAGCTTTACCCACTAAATCTAGAAGACTCAGTGAAGCTGCATCAGGAAAGTTAACACTATATGGTGGAGTTGTAGCATCTGCTGCTGTCAGCCCTTCTGGGCCATGCTGATGAGGTGATCAGTTAAGTTCYCTAGGAAGCTCGAGGTGTATTTTTAGACTTAAAAAGATGTAATAGGCTTTCATCTGTGAAAACAACCAAAGCTCCATGCAAGCCCTTGTCACAGATCTGAATTGTCTTCTCCAGCAGGAAATATATCTCCAGCTTGCTGGTACACTTGACATCAAAGAGGAAATGAACTTAGCCAAGGCAGAGTGAATTTTCATTTTCTTTTTTCCCCATCCATTCTCATTTCAATACTGTTTTTAAATGATTTGTGACTTGTCTGTGTAGCAGACAACAAAGTAATGATTCATAGTGGTTCCTGGAAAACATATTGTAAACTGAGAATTAGCTGCCTCTGAGCAGTCAGCCTCCTTTCTCTGAATTTTTATTCTTCATTTGACATTAATTTAAAATCTGATCTGATTTAGCCTGAAAAAGTAGTAATAAAACCATAAAGTGCTTCATCTGATAGAGGGTGAAATCAAGATGTTACTGTCAGTTAAGCTTATTCTCAAGCCTATGACAGAACTATCACCAGCTCCTGATTTCCTGCTGAGAAAGCAGTGAAGGCAAAGCCAGGAAAATCTTGTCTTCAAAAGCAAACTATTATTCAGAAACATTCATCTCCCTAATGCAGTGGGATGCAGCAGGTAGGAATCAGAATTTCTTTTAAAACTGCACTAATATTGCACAAATGTTACTATAAACATGTAGCCACGTAACTCAGTCACTGCAGAAAAAGGTGTCAGACCATGGGGATCAGACCTGTGGGCTGCCATGAGGCTGTGGGATCTGACTATTAATAAAAATTGTTTGATACTGGTCACTTTTTCACGTGCTCATGTGTCTGTATTTCATTGCAGATCCCTTCAGGCCTTTTTATTCCTAGCATGGCTGTTGGAGCCATGGCTGGCAGGATGGTTGGGATCGGAGTKGAGCAGCTGGCATATCACCATCATGACTGGATCATCTTCAGGAACTGGTGCAGACCTGGGGCCGACTGTGTCACACCAGGACTTTATGCTATGGTGGGAGCAGCAGCTTGCTTGGGTATGGTCCCTGCTGGTCATTGGTTGGTGTGTGAGCAGCACTGATATTTGGGGGCACGCTTAGGAGGGCTTTGTGTTCATGTTAGGTGCTRTGTTGCCATTTCTGGGTGCAACAGGAGTTGAAATCAAGATGGGCTAAAGAACAGACAGCTTTCTCTACTGGTTGCTCCAGTGATCTGCCAGAAAGGCTTGCARATGCCTACTCCTTGTAATTTGCCAGAAAGCACAGAAAAGGAAAGAAAAATTGAAGTTAGGCTGCAGGTTTCCAAGTAGGAGTGTTTTTGCTTGCGTTTTTTCCATTTGATGTAATGAAACTCATTGTAACTGGATTAAAGCTACTTACTTGTTTAGACTGTGCTCTCCGTGCAGGGAAAAAAAATCGCAGTTCTAGCTAATTTTAAGCAACACAGAGGTAAAAATTCTGGRTCTTGTTTTGGCTGTGTTTCATGCTGTGGTCAACTGAGCTGTATTTTGGTTTTCATTTTCATCATAGGCCAATATTGGATTACACTCAATCAATAGGATTTATTGGATATAACAGCAATGATCTGTTAACTATTAAAGCAAGATCATTGAATAATACCTCACATATCAAATTTCTAGCCATAGAAGCAAAAAAAAAATTACAAGCGTACTATCTGAACATGTTTTTGCCTAGTCATATCTCTCCCTTTCTGTGCTTGCATATTCTATCTCCTTTTGTTGCTGTAGTWGATATCATCATCAGTAGATGAAAAAACAGTGAAGAGGCATAACACATGATTAATGTGATTGGGTAGGTTTGAAATGAAAGATACACTCAGGGAAGATGTGGAAAAGTTTCAGATTTGGTTGCTCATATTAGAAAAGCAGGATCATTTGTGGCATCAATACAGAGGAAGGAAGGGTGGGATTTGCTTGAAAATTTAATGTCTGTAATGTCAGCACCTGATCTTAACTGTCCTGATACCCTTCACAGTCAAAACAGGAAAACGAGGTATGGGAAAGGTCAGTCTTATCTGGCAATACACGTCTAAAACCAGGCAAACAAACAGATGAATTTGGCCTCAACAGGGCCTGGTTTTACCTAGAGATTGTGAAGGCAATCTGGATCATCCCTTTGGATGTGAACACCCACAGCAGTGTAGCCACGTTAAAAAAGCTAGGATGAATCATACCGTCCAAACAAGAAAAGCACTTCCTCCTTTTGATAAATGATCTTAATGTTCATAAAAGAAATAATACACAAAAATTTGACTCTGACATTGCTGTGGTCAGCGTAGAATCATAGAAGCATAGAATATACCAGTTGGAAGGCACCCATTAGGATCATCAARTCCAAATCCKGCCTGTGCACAGGACACCCCAAAAATCACACCATGGGTCTGAGAGCATTGTCCARATGCCTGTTGACCTCTGCCAGGGTSAGTGCTGTGACCACTTCCCTGGGGAGCCTGTTCAGTGCCCAGCCMCCCTCTGGGTGAAAAACCTTTTCCTGATATCCACTCTAWACCTCTCCTGACACAAMGTCAGGCCATTCCCTCAGGTCCTGWCACTGATCACCARAGTGAAGAGATCAGTGTCTGCCCYTMTGCTTCCCCTTGTGAGAAGYTGCAGACCACAATGAGRTTTCCCCTTAGTCCCCTCCAATTTGAACAAAGTGACCTCAGCCACTCCTCAAAAGGCTCCTCTTCAGACCCTTCACCATCTTCGTGGCCCTTCTTTAGATGGTTTCTAACAGCTTAATGGCTTTTTTAATATTGTGGTACCCAAAACTGCACACAGGAGTCAAGGTGAGGATGCAATTTCTTCCTCTTTTAAAAGGTCCAAATTAAGTTGCAGTGGTTTTTAATAGCATGGTGAGACATACAGTAGAATGTCACAGCTTGTACTTTAGCTGTTTTGTACYAAAACCTATCTTGCCTGAAGTGAGAGATATGGAGTAAGTATTAAATGATTCTTACTCTGGTATTTGCTCTCAGCTTTTCACAGTCAGAAGCTTAAGGCATTCCTCAGATGAAATTCATATCTGGATCACAGTGTTAAGTAATCAACAATCTAATATTTCTGTATGCTGCTAGATAAAAAGCATMTTTTAATGACCTGTTTCTGATTTTTCTCATTTAAAATGGGGCTGTATTTTGAGGCCAAAAAATAGCAGATTTATTACATTTACCTTTTGAACAGAGGCAAAGAAATGTTACCTAATAATTCAGAGATACATACACACTTGTCCTCAGCTATATGATTATTTTTATCCTTTAATGTAAACTGAAAGAGCRAGGAGCTTGTTTGTGAAATTAATACAGAAAGACTCAATTGAAAAATACAKCTACAATGGCTGCATGCCTGGATGGCCTCAAACCAAGTTGTACACAGTTCAAACTGTATTACTGTAGTGATATCAAAAGCAAGTATTTAGGCTTTTAACATAGCTCTTGCAGTGGCCCTAAGCTTTCTAAGGCAGGATTTTGTAACCATGTTGTGCCCCAAAGATAATGCTCAGCTTCTCTTCAGTATGATTGCAATTTGTAGGTTGGTGTGAAAGCACCTCTCCATGCTCCTGCCTGCCTCAGCCATGGTACTTCACTGATTCCTGGASTCATTTTAGAGGGCTAATGGCAGGGTTCAATTTTAGTTTCTCAAGTATCCATYAAAGTTGATTTTTTTGGCATCCTTTCTGGTTTTAAATCTCTGTCCTTTGGCATTCATTGTTTGCTTTTCAATGTTAGCAACTTYGGCATGAGCAAGTTCACTCAACCTTTTTTATGAAAGTTGCAGTAGATGAAAAATACCTTTCTTTGGTGAAATAAGCCCAAAAGTATAAGGGCAAAGTACTCAGCATAAATAATTATATGCTTTTTTGAGTGTAAGGCTCAAAAATATAAACGAGCTGCTTAACATGTATCCCAGCCCTGAGTGTTTTCCTCGTTGGCAGGTGGCGTTACTCGAATGACGGTCTCTCTGGTGGTCATTATGTTTGAGCTCACTGGAGGCCTGGAGTACATCGTGCCTCTTATGGCTGCGGCTGTCACAAGCAAGTGGGTGGCAGATGCCTTTGGAAAAGAAGGGATTTATGAAGCTCACATTCATCTGAACGGATACCCCTTCCTGGATGTGAAGGATGAGTTCACGCACCGAACKCTGGCGACGGACGTGATGAGACCGMGGCGAGGTGAAGCTCCTCTGTCAGTTCTGACTCAGGACAGCATGACCGTGGAGGATGTYGAGACCCTTATCAAAGAGACCGACTACAATGGCTTCCCAGTGGTGGTTTCAAAAGACTCGGAGAGACTGATTGGGTTTGCACAGAGACGAGAGCTGATCCTTGCAATAAGTAAGTAGAATATCAGTGTGTGAAAGTTTGATTTTGAAAGGAGTTTTTTATGATTAGCATAGGTTAGCAGTGTTAATCACCTTGAAAAATGGATAAACAAGAACCAAATGTAACTTTTTCTTCAGATCTGACTTTTACTAGTTACTAAAACCTGGAAGCTTTTCTATTGCATCATACCGCCTGGTAGAATTTTGTGGGCTTGACCCTTGTGGGTTTAATTTTGCTCTCCCTCAAAACAATAAAGTAAAATTCTTCYAGAGACAACAGAGATGGCCAGAATTTTTGTCAGAACCAGATCAAAAGCCAGCACAGTGCTCAGCTTCCTTCAGTGTCCATGGGCTGCCAGAAGCARCTGGGGCAGTCATGAGCTTTTGTCACCCTGTGATGAAATAACCTGTGTTTTCTGTTGCTTTGTCTCAGATTTTCCTCACATGCAGGGTTTTAGTGCTACAGGTGGAAAGCTTYTCAGTGGGAAATGTTTTTTGGTAAAAACGGTTGAATTTTGTCTGGCATCCAGTCCGAATCCAGATCATTAAAGATTTTGACTGTCAGGGCCTTTCCTGGTTGATCTGATGACAGAGTGGGGATCCAGGTATATTGGATGAAGGCAAGTGTTCCCACCTTTTCTCTACTCAGGGCATCCAGAACTGCAGAGTTCTGCAAGGCTGTCCCAGTTCTGGCTGTCCTGTGGTGTTGAGGGCCAGCTGGACAGTCAGGCAAGATGTCATCTGGGCATGGTTTCATTGTACTTTGTAAGGGTGTGGCATGTCTGCTATATCCAAATCTCCTTGAATTAGAATTATCTTCTCTGCCTGGCCTTGTTCCCTTCCTGTTATTCAGGCCCCTTTAAAAAGCTGTTGTCTTGGATGGAAACACACATATTTTTCAGACAAGAAAATTCATAAATGGAAAATTAGGGTTATTTTTGAAGGTCACTTTCCAGTTCAATTCCCACTGAGCTAAAACAAAAATTTGAAATAAGAGTGGTCCTTAAAGCACATGTTTTAGATGTGTTTAGCCTACCTTGGGTCTATCCTTTACACTGCCCCTGCCATGTCATGGCTTTAACACTTGGTGCCTTCCTAAGTTAATAGTCTTTTGCAACTCCTTTTGAAGAAGGTATGTCAGTGGGAAAATTGCATGGACTGAAGAGGCAGAACCCTCACTTTAAAACCAGAAAGATCAGAAACTGCTTGAAGYGAGTCAAAGAACTTTGAGGAACTGAGTAATTTGATTCAGGTCATAAATGGCASTGTGGCTGAATGGTCTTGCCAGAAGATGTGAGAAAATGTCCAGCTATGAACTGACAACAAAGAAATCAGTTAAAATTAAACTCAGTAAACATTTAGATCAAAATACTTTACTGTTCAAAAATTGTTTTTTTTTATATCTTTCAGAGGAAAAAGTAGTCTCCTGATCAGTTCTAATTAAAAGCATCTTTTATAGGAAACGAGGCAGAACTTAATTTAAAATAAAATTGCTATATGCATAGACAATATATGCATTCCTAAAACCCTCAGAAATCAGTAAATTTTGGTGACCTTTTTCACCTTGGGTTGAGTGTGAGTGCTGTCATTCTGTGCCAGCACTATGATAAATGGTTAATCTTTCCAGTGTGGTTTGTGTCCTTGTGGCTTAAAACCTGGATTTAGTTTCAAAAGACACGTATATGGTTCCAGTACAGGAACTTTTTGATTGCTAATTCTTTCTCTGAAGTTGCTTTGCCTGTGGTGCAGAAGTCACTCTTTCTCATCATTAGCACAGGAGTAGCTGATGTGTTCTGAACCTCCAGCTCAGCTTGCTTCATAGTTATGGTAATGGAGCCATGAAACAAGTCTCCTTAAGCCATAAAATTTCTAACTGAGGGATAAACATCTCACATGGTGAAGCATCTCCTACTCACCTGAACCTGGGGTTCACCTGCCCAGCCTGACAGAGATTCTGGAGCTTATCTCAGAATGAGCCCCATCTSTGCAGCACTTCAGCCAGGGAATGAGGTCTTACAAAAAGCAGAGTCAGGCCCACTGCAGTGTCTCTTCTTTCACCAGTATCTCTTCTTTCATGCCATTGTGCCCTGCAGAATGCCTCCTCAGTSTGGACTAGCTCTGGTACCTCTGCATAAGAACATTTTGCACTTCATAGAGACATGGTTTCAACCAAGAATTTCAGCTTCTTTCTCAGGCCCAATTAATTGTGCATCAGCAGTATGGTGCTCCAGGAATACTCTGGGGAAGAACTCCCATTCCTTCACACATCTGACTTCTTGGATGCTGAGTCTTGCATCAAATACCTGTTCCCACACAGCTGTCTGCCCCATGATTTACCCCTACATAATTTCTTTCTAACTGAGCAGATCCCTGAGCATGCTCTAGAAATGCAGCAAATACCTGTGAAGTGAATGGMAATGCCATTTCCCATTGCTCAGAGGCATCCTCAGGTGAATTGTGTCCTTCCACTGATCTGTGTTGAACAGGTAGGCAGGTGAGGTGGCACAGTCACCCTCTGGGGATAAGTGTCTCCATTTTAGATGACACCTACTTTACAGTCTTACAGAGGGGAATATTTGGCACTGTAAAGCATTTCTTGAATYTGGCCAGCTCCAGGGACACCATGCAGAAGGCAGAGCCTTGGACAATGGCCAGGTGGCCTGAATAATATGTTTTTCCCAATGTGGAGTTGAGAGATTAGCATAGTTGATACAGGCTGTGAAATGTGAACCCCTGAATATGAGAGGCYGTTTCACATTTGGGAGAATTAATTCATTCTCTAGCTATGACAAGAGCCTTCTGCATAGATTGCTCTGTAAAACCAGACATTGTCATCCATTTGCTTTGCTCTTTCTGTTAATCTGCATCTGTTTTTCTTGCCCACTGACTGCAAAAATGATCTGTTCTTCTGTTTTACCTTTACTCCCACTCCCCTATCCAGTGAAACTGCATACAAAATCCACCATTTCTCTGATGCCACTGAATTTACTCGATAKTACTACATCATTCAGATTTCTCCAGAGAGGTGTTTGACATGGAAGAGTGAAATCATGGCTTTGGCTAATCACTGTTGTTCAGGGTCATTGCTGCCTTGGGAGCAGCARTGTGGTAACCAAACTGCTTGGCCCTATTTCTTTGGGTGCAGCTTTTGGGAAGGAAATACCTAGCTGTCAAAGGTTTTTATCAAAGGGTGGGAGTTACMTTCAGTTTGATTAATGTTACCTCTTAGCACAGATCGTATATCAAAGAACTATGCAGGCATATTCACACTTGAAATTAGATGTATGAATTGAAACAAGCTGAGACAMAACTAGCATCATTCCTGGAAATTGCAATAGGACTTGTAATATSTGGGGTGAGAAGGTTGAGGATCATRTACTGTGCTGGTAWTAGGTTTGAGCCAGCACTGCTCCAGTTCCAGAAATATTACAAGACAATCATCGTTAAATGTAAAAAAAATTGCAGCTGGAACATGTTGGAAACCATCACTGTCTACACATTACAAGTCACAGGAGCAGGTTTCTGCACTCTGATTGATGGCAGCGAGTTCCAAAAATATTTACATATGCTTTGAGTATGAGTTGCTATACCTCTCAATAACAGAAGCAACCTATGTTAATTGAAGGTAATAATTCTAACTATTTCCAAGAATTTATTTAAAAAAAAAATTAGGGGAGTTAAACCCTCAGATCCAAACACATGATATGCTTATTCTGGGGAGAGAAAAGTTGTCTGTCATTTGGAAATCTGTCTCATATGAYGTTTATGCCCTGTAGCATTGAGCAGAGATGAGGTAAACACTATAAAGAAAATAAACTATTTCAWTGGTAAGTATTCCTCTTGGAGCACACTTTGGGTAAAAGGCCTATACTGATCGTGTAAACTCCAGATGTAGTGTGATATTCACTTCATAGTTTGCTCAAAGTATTATTGATAGCTTTTGAACTTTTAAAAGTGGTCACATATGTCCTGTTTACCCCTRTATTTTGTTCCTCCCTTTAGTATTTTCCAAGTAGGATGCTAGTTTTTATTTCCTTTTTGAAATCTAGATATGCAAACAATTTAAGGCATTAAGTGTAAACCCACAAAATTTACCCTGCATGCCAGAGAGGTGTGCTGGTCTAGAACAACACTCACACTTCTCCTGGATCCCTGGAATGTTAATTTGTCTTTCCCTTTGTATTCATAAATCCATTCACCACGTCCACATTTTCCCAACTCCGCTGAAAAGTTTTGCTCCAAGCCAGCTGGGATCTTACGCAGCTGTTGACGCCACTCCTTCAGGCATGTAATAAAGTTTCTGTTGTGATTCTCACAATGGAGGAAATTACATGCAGTCGTTTGCATTTGGCAGCAATTGGATTAGTGATGTTTGTGAATGCAATGAGCTGCATATTTATTCAGAAAAGCATTATTCCAACCAAGGAAAAGGATGTGTCTGAAAAAAYAGCACTTTGCTTTAAGGAAGCAATATCTCAAGGAAATTCAAGTTTACTCAGTAACCCAAATTTCTGGGACTTTAGTATGTTAAAGAAAAAGAAACTTTTGCTTTCCAAAGGAGGGGTTTTTTTTATCATTGTCAAGTTTAATTCACTGTCTACACCAATCTTTGTGTTGTACAGAGAATGCAAGACAGCGTCAGGATGGGGTGGTGAGCAATTCCATCGTGTACTTCACTGAAGACCCCCCAGAACTGCCACCCAACAGCCCCCACCCACTGAAACTGCGGCGTATTCTCAACCTGAGCCCCTTCACTGTCACTGACCACACACCAATGGAGACTGTGGTTGACATTTTCAGAAAACTTGGACTCCGGCAGTGCCTGGTCACTCGCAGTGGGTGAGTAGTTCGCAGTCAAGTGAATATTTTAATTTTTGTTTTATTCTGTGAATGGATGAATAAGGAAACCTTGCTCATGTCTCTCCAGGGCAGCAAAAGAAGTCAGACTCTGAACCAAAATAATGCTTACAGGCTGTTATATTTCATTCTGTTCTCCCAAATCCTTAGTATATTCTCATTTAGATAAGGTAAAAATAAATGGAAAATAAACTGTTCTGACTTCTGCTATCATTCAGTTCTCAACAGAGGCAGATTTGGCAAGCAGTGTTGTTTTCAAAGAATGTGCCTGYTTCTAGACATCCAGCTAGATTAGATGCTTGTGAAGACTGATGGTGTCACTGGAGGAAAAGGAATCTGTTCAGCTTTCTCCWTTGGATAATGTAAAGCTGTATAAACCAAAGGTCCTCAAAGAACAGCTGAAGGAAGGGGACAAACATGAGATCAGGAGAATAAAAAGCTGTGGACTAGAAATAACATCCCATAGCTCCAATGGAGTTTGAGATATCTGGGCATCATGGCTATCCCAGTTTCTAGTGACAGCAGGATAGTCAAACCAGAGCCATCACTTCCAAATGTGGAAGACTAAAATTTATTCTGTTGTTAGAAAGCCTTTTTTTTAATTCGAAAGTATTGCATATAAGTTGTTACTGTCCATGCAATATCCTCAGCATTAAGAAAATAAGAACCATTATTGGGACACAGGTTCTGATTTTAGGTGCCTGGATTCAGAAATTTAGATCTTGAGTTTTAGAATYTGCATGAAATGAAAGGTGGAAAAACTATTAACAATGACATAGTTTCAAAATTCAGTGCCTAATGGTCTTCAAGGACTGGAAGTAAAAGCCCTTGAATGCTGAGGGTTATAAAATGTTTGACTCTTGGGGCCAGACATCCCATAGACCTCATCTTTCTTGACAGATATAATTCATTTAGGTTCACATWGATGAGAAATTATCATTTAAATTTGAAGGAATTATGCTGTCAGAYAGTAAGAGTTTCAGAAATCCTGTGCTTTAGCTTTGTGTATTACCAAGAACTGATGCTTTGGTTTTGTGCTGTTGGTTCTCTGTAGCCTGAGCTTAAGGAAATTTATTATTTTGTTTGTACAAAGTGTTTGTTGCTGCAGCTCCTCTCAGTTATGTTACCAGCAAAATGAGATTACAAGCCAATGTATTTYACTTAATTATCATGGCTGGGGTAGTAGAAATACATGAGAATATTTGTATARAAAGATAATAATTGGAGAATGGATGAGATGGACAGTACTGTATGGAAGCACTCACAAAATATCCCTGCAGCTGAACAGGGAAAAARCCTGGATGATATATGAGATGATTGTTGACCTTTTATTTCCTTTTCTCCTATAGGAGGCTGCTGGGTATCATAACTAAAAAGGATGTATTAAGACATATGGCTCAAATGGCAAACCAGGACCCTGAATCTATCATGTTTAACTAGACTGGTAAAGAAGAAGAAAGTAACCCCAAAGGAATCCCTTCTAGATTAACACAAAGGCTGTGTTTGGTGTTTCATCTTGCTTAAAGAGAAAAATGTATGTGAGGAATGGCCTGATATCCTCTGACAGAGGGAGTGGATGCAGGACAGCACTTATTCCATGAGGAAGGCAGTTCAGAAGCTCTGAGCAGCTGCAGACATGAAGTGTTTCCCTAATGAGATTCCCAACAGCTGAGTTGGAGTGCTGGTGGGTGTCAGTGATGCAGTGCTTGGGGACAAAGAGCCAGGAGCRCCAGAGGGAGCCATCAAGGTCACAGTAACTCCTGAGGTGTGAGGAGCAGCAGACACTGTTTATGTACAAGCTGCTGAGAGACACGAAGGTTTGTGTTCCAAGCCACAGAGTGTAGATGAGTAATGTCAGTTGCTTTTGTTACTGGAATCATGGCTGTTTGTTTGCTACTGAATTATACCATTTTCATAACAGACAACAATTGTCATATTTTTAAACAAAAGATTTTGTCATCTTCATTTATTTTGTAAATGTTTAGTGAATCAAGACTGGAGTTAAGTCTTAAGAAAGGAGTAAGAGTATTCCTCAACTCAATTTAAAATGTAGTGCCCCTTGCTCCTTGCTTTAGTCTTTTGAATTTTATACTGCTTAGCATTTCTGTCAACCAGCTTCCCCTTATTAATGTTGAAATGGGATTTATTTGTAAGAATTTATTATCTCTCTATGCAATTTTGCATACAAGTACTGTAAAATTTGGTATTTTGTGGTTTGCTGTGGTAACTGGAAAAAACATAGAAGCCCATGAAATAGTTTTCAAAAGCACTAATAGGACAGTGTCATCCATCTCTCATCAGTGTTAGTGACAAGAGACTGAATCCCTCACCTGTCTTCCCTTGTGTACATCACTCTTTTTCACACACGTATGAAGCTCTGCATTGATTCTTGCTTCTCCACTTAGGTCCTTTTKGTAATTGCTCTTTCTTGGCATTTATCTGCACCTGTCAAGAAATTGCTGAAATTAATTTAATAGTCATAGACACTTATTCTGTAATAGATCTASTTTTTATGCACCTGTCAGTCATAGGACTGTGGAATCCCTCTCCACAACACTGTGTCTGGATAAGATCAGAGGGACTGAGAATGCAAATATCATAGGAAAGCTTTAAATATTTATCTGTTTGCACCAGGAATACAAGATTTAACTGACCTTGGTAGAGACCTCTAAGTCACTCAGGTAAAAATGCTAAATTTTCCTAAGCACTTGTTCTGGTCCTGTGCAAGATGCAGAGGGTCAATCCTTTAGTCAATGTTGCTACCAGTAACAGAATACCAAATAATACCAAATTGTACTCTCTGTAACACACAATTCAAACTGCCCAGTGTTTGCTTTATAGATGCAAACTTAAAGAATGGGGGAAGGTTACATCCTAATTTAGATGCCCTGAATCCCCTGCAGACCTCCTGCTCCCTTCATTTAGGCATCTAAGAGCTCTGTTATTTTTGTTCAGATTCACACAGATGGGCCTCATGGACTGAAATGAGAGGTGTCCTGTCATGCAGAACAGCCTGTTGYTTACTCCAGCCCAAACCCAGGCAATAACCAGTGAGCATGGTTATTGTGAGACAGCTCAGGTGCACCCTGAGTTAGATGTTCAAGTTGTATGTCACAAATTCCTCCTCTTATCTGCAGTGACCCTGCTTCCTTCTGGCATGTGTTCCACTGCATTCACACAGAATGTGGCTCGAATTGCTGAATTGAAAAGAAACGGAAGTAAAGGGATAATTTTAATCTGCTGAGTACCCCACTKAACAATGGTGTTTGCAAAAGACTGACATAAATATATGTAGCTTTGGCCAAAGCCCATAAATATTTYAGCTTATACTTTTTGTTAACTGAACAGCTGCAGTACAATGTATTATTAAAGGGACATTGTTAAAACTATGTAAACTATAGGAATGAGCAAYCCCTTTCTTCTGAAAATAGGAAATACAACATAATATGGTTTTTTCTTACGTTGTTCTGTGAAGCTTTCTGCAGCCAAAGCCATAAAAAACCAACCAAGTCAACATCAAAGCTCGTAAACCCTGTATTCCCTCATTTGAACRGAGATGCCATCATAAAATCTATTCATTCCCACAACTAAATCCAAGTGGGGCTTTATACAATGTCAATTTCTACCCATAACTTCTAGAATCTAGGGGATTTGGACTAAGCTAAATAGGCTGACTTTTGAGAGCAGTCTCATTCTTGGATTAAAACTGTATGACCATGTTCTACTTTCCATGTTTGTTAACAGGAACCAATGTAGTGTATCAACACTGAGAAACATYCATTTTCTGAGAAAAAGACATGGAGTTGTCTAACTGAAATTAATCTGGCTATGAATACAAATTYACCTGTTTGTTGGCTTGGATTATCAGGTTAAACACAGTCTGTGGTTATGCATAGGCATAAGCTTGTGTGGTTAATTACCATTACTACCCAGAGGCCTGATTTACTGAAACCAACAATCACCCCTGTGATAGCGTGTTACCTTGTCTTATTAGACTGCCTAGGAACAGCCCTCGGGCCTTAAAAACAGRATCCAAAACCCAACATGGTGATTTGTAACAAACAGCAACAAAAGGAATTGAGAGTTATGTAGTTGTTGTGAGCACAGTTTGACCCTGGACCATCACCCAAGTAAAAGGCAGGTAAATGGATGTACAGCTCACTTCTACCAAACACATTCCTTTCTGGATGGAAAGCTTTAAACACATAAGAGGTCAAGGGGAAAACCTTTGGACATGTAACCATGTCGTGCTGTTCCTTTTCCAGTGTCTGTTTAAAATATGTTAAACCCTTTAGAGCAGGGGCTGCTCTCTGGCTGTCCAGAAATGGCACACTCATGGCTAACCTCAGCTCTTGGTGTTGGCATCAAGGCTGAGGCTAATGCTACAATGACACAGAGGGCTTTGAAACAGGACAGACTTAGCTAATTAGAAAACTTCCTCCATGCTACAGCYTTCATTGCTCTTCACATTGGTATCTGAAAGGGAACGCCCTTAATATAGATTGATAACATGCTTTTCTCAAAAAAATGCAGTGATGTAATGATTTAATTTATTTCTCCATAACAAACCCATTATCAGTCACTGTTTTCCATCTGTGTTCCAAAATTTGTCTCAGAATAGACTGAATAGACTCCAAGAGGCATAGATCTCAGCCTTAACTATTTATTTGAATTTAATTAAGCTCAAGATAGTCACGTAGCRTTATCAATATGAGTTACATAAGTACTTTAGTATATACTGCTGACTTTATGCAACCTCAGTTCAGTCCTTGTGTTCAAGCAGCTGGCCTTCAAAAATGTCCAACTAAACTAAACGAGAATAAAAATCTTTGAATGATGCAGGTTCAGTATTTTACCTTTGTTTTGCATGAACTGTATYCAGTTGCATTCAGCCTCTGATGTGTACTTGAAGCAATCTGCACCAGAAAGTTCAATAATAAAGTACAGAACAYGGATGACATTAGACAGACCCTTTGGCTGTCCCAGTGATACTAATTATTAATTCTTATGCTTTGAAGAAGCAGAAAAAGAATGTTTCAGAATTACTGGAGGCTCACTGATTCTGTGTTGGAATGACACTATATTTATGACTATAGTTTTGCTTCAGTTCTGTTTGTTGGTTTGTTTTTTTTTAATCGTAGAAAACAGTGTATATGTTGCACCTTATAAAAAAAAATGTTTGGACTCTATTTTTTAAATAAAACTGACAGTGCTGAAAACATTTCTTGGACATCTTATTATAAGAGAAGTATTTAATGTAATGTCTCTGTATTATTTTTGTGTTTCCTTTTCTCACTTATAGGGATAACTCAAGCCTGATGAATGATCTAGGATATCTGATTCAGTTATGTGCTACTTAATAGTAAATAGGGAGTTAGTAAAGTGCATGTACTGAACTTAGAGAATCAGCCTTGACAGCTGGCTATTTTATTTTCAGAGAAAAGTGTTTTTTCTTTTGCCTCATAAATACAATAGAAAACTAAAAAGAGAAGAAAATAGATTTATCTAACCAGGTTGTTCTGTCTCCAATAATCATGAAACATCTTTAAAACTAGATGTTGCAAAGCCCCTATGATATTGTTTTTGTATATATTTTTCAGTTGCACTTTAATTCAGAGCTAAGATAAAAGTCTGAAAATGACAGGTTCAATCATCCCCATTTAATTGGATGAAGCATACTCTAAATCTCTTTCAGAGGCTTAATTCTAGGTAGGAGCAAAGAATATATGCTTGATCCTGATCAACATACTAACTAAAACTGATATACCATCAATATCCTGGTTCAAGTTAAATTGCTGATTTTGGAAGCTGGTGGTGGGGGTCCCATAGCCTTCAGCTCATTCCATGGATTGCTGTCCCCAAAATACACACCAGGAAGCCAGGAGCCATCAAGCACACAGCAACTTTAATAAGTAGCAATAGTTCCTGTAGTTTGTGTTTGGTCACGGGGGTCTGAACTTTAGACCTGCYTGTCATCACTTGTGATGGCGCAGCTGGGAAATGGAATAGAAAATGTTGAGGRGAATTCAGCGCCGCCCTGGTGCAGCTGTGCTCGGCATATCCCGGCCTGTTCTCTGTTCCTCCAAACCAAGGAGCCGAGTAAGGAAGTGTTTAACCAAGTTACCATCCCTGTACCTCCCTGCTCCTTTTGGGTCAGCTCTTCCTCCAAGTGTATTTCCTACAAGCTGTATTATTGCCTGGTGCYGTTCTGCTCCTCTGCTCCAAATGTGATCTGGTTCCAGCTCCTCTCTGCTGTGGTGGCCCACTGAGCACAATCTTAGCRACACAGTATCCCAAATAAGAAAGGTGCATGGTCTATCCCTGTATCTTTCCTGCAGTGTCAAGAGGGCCCCGTGGTTGTCCTTACATTTAGATTTTCTAGGAGCTTCAAAGAGAAGATATTATCAGTTATAAGATGCTCAAGTACTGGAGGACACTTGAGAGAGGCCAAGGTTCTCATGTGATGAGGAGAGCGCCACACAGGCGCTCTGTGCTGCCCCTGAACCAGCGGATGACATTGTGGGTACACATGCAACATGCTGGGGCTTTTAGTTTAAAGACAGCAGATTTAGGATATTAAGAAATTCTTTACCTTGAGGGTAGTGAGGCATTGGAACAGGTTTCCCGGAGATGTGTGGATGCCCCATCACTGGAAGTGTTCAAGGCCTGGTTAAATGGGACTTGGAGCAGTCTGGTCTAGGGGAAGTGTCCCTGCCACGCCAGGCGGGGTGGAACGAGATGGTCTTTAAGGTCCCTTCCAGCCCAAACCATTCTGTGATTCTGTGATTCTGTGATTCCATTCTGTGATTCTGTGATTCCATTCTGTGCTGCACCAAATGCTCGGGGTATTTAGCGATCCACTGCTCCAGGCTCTAAATCCAGCTGCAGTGTTTATTAACCAGCGTTGGGACAATGAGCAGGGATTGAACAGCTCCGGTGRGTTGGAGCCGCGGTCCCACTAGGTGGCAATCCTGTCCTCGGCATGGCAGCGCCACCAGCCCAGCGCCACCAGCCCTGCTCGGGGTGACAGAGGCCACCTCGGTGTCCTTTCTGCGCGCTGACTTCTGATTCTTGCAGGAATCAAAGTTCTACAATTGCTTGCTCTAAATGTATAATTTGCCTCATGAATTTGCTTCTATATCCCAATTAAAAGCTATTTTTTAAAAAAATGTATTTATTTATGTATTTATTAATTTTAGCTAGGTACATTCTGGCGGGAAAGGGAGAAAAAGGAAAGAAACCTTTTCCTTTGTTTCAAGTATTTGGCAGTGCTAAAGCACAACTGTCTGCTTTGGCTCCTTAAACCACATATCACATCTGTAAAAACATAGTGGCAAAAGGAGGAAAAAATAATCTGCAATGCTTTCCTGGTGGTTTCTGTGAGGCTTTCATGTAACCAATACATTTTCATCAATTATGCATTTAGGTCACAGGAAGAGTTGGTTGAAGGAATTCCTTTGCCGTTTCAAAGTCGCTGTCAGGAAGAAAATATAGCCAAGCTGATGGAGCTAGAAGAAACACAGTTTTGTTCGTCTGACCTGATATTTTTCTTCTCCACTTTCTTTACCATAATTCCTATTTGCATAAGTATGTCCGTCAGCAAAGCAATATCTGTTGCTTATTGGCAATGCACAGAGGGAATTAGGGAATGCACAGAGGCCCTTAGAGCATGGAAAAGTCTTATTTTGCAATGGCAATTCTGAAACATGTTATTGTTGATGTTGCTTACATAAAACAACGCTGGAGAATTGAGTAAAATGCCTTCCCTATAAAACATTTGGTCAGATCTGGAAAACAGCATACTCTCCTTGGTGGGCAGTATTACCATGTGTAACCTTTAGACTTCTGTGCAATTTACAACCCCAAGTTACATGCTTAAATATCCTTTTAAAAATATAATGAGAATTAAGTGCTGAGGAACAGGTTTTGCAGTAGCTACCACACAGAACAGGCAACAGCTGATGTTAGCTACTGAAAAATGCCAGAGAAGACCTTTAGATAATCACAGAAGTGTCAGAGTACTTTCTTTTTCTCTTGTGAAAAATGCCTGAGARCTTGTGGAAATGCATCCTACATGTGCTTAGAAAGTTGAGCAGGAAACAGAAAATCAAGGGTCATGGCTTTCCACTCCTACACCTGACACCATCCTGCAAACTCTGTCAAAATTAAAATGTAAAGGTAGAAGGGAGAAGAGAGAGAATGCTGCAACAGGAAGAAGAAATCGCTGCATTCCCACTCCTTTTCCCAGCTCTGCTTTATGTATTTTATTTGCTTTTCTCAAATGTACAATATATYACCAGGCTTGGGAACAGGGACAAGATGGAAGTCTCTCACTTTGGAAGTAAATGCCACAGCAGTTAGGGTGGAGATTTTCCCTGTGCATACTGTGGCCCAGCATCACGCATTCCTGTGGCCCAGCTTCAGCAGGGAAGGCAAAGACTGTTTTTCTCTCTGTTCTTTCCTAACCTGAAGATCAAGGCTGCAGACTGAGGAGACCTTAGAGCCAGGTGATGCTTTTCCAGGGCATCACTTGTTCCTTGGGTCATATTCCGAGTATGCCTCTTTAATCCAGAGCAATTTTTATTCATTTGTTTTCATTTTGGAAGCAAAGATCTGAGAACTACTTCAAAGGTTAAATTTAGCATATTTGTTCTATACATGCATAATCATTTCAGATATTTAAGTTGATTCTGAAAATAGTCTCCCCAGTAAGAAGAAAACCTCCTGTCCTAAAAGGAAAAAAAAAAAAGTTAATTTTTCCTATAATTAAGGCTACACATGCAAAAGTTAGCAGTTTTCCTATGTTTATGAAATAAATCTGTCCTTTGAGACAGGGCATTTGGAGACAGGCCTCTTTCATGCCTTCTCTTGGAGGTGTCCTACTTTCCACAAACACTGAGTATGCATTTCACAGCATGAGTGTGACTTAAGCATTGGAAAGGGCTGCCAAGGAAAGTGRTGGAGGCACCACCCCTGGAAGTGTTAAGAAATTACTGGATGTGGCACTTAGTTYTRTGGKTTAGTGGACATGGTGGTGGTGTTYAGTCAAAAGCTGGACTCCATGATCTTGSAGGTCTTTTCCAATCTTAATGATTTTGTGATTCTGGAGAAACCTCTAGGACTTCTATCTAAAGCCTCTGGTTCTGCTGCTTCCTGGATTTCTATAGTAAATTAATWGTCAGTACTGACCAGTAAGAATGAAAAAAAAAACAACCCAAAAGTTTCCCTGATACCATCTGCTAATCCTGGTATTCTTTTGAGAATGACCCCTAAATCACTGGGCTGCTGACTAGCAYTAAAAAGAAAAACTGGCATTTCCGAGAGTAAAAGCCTTCATTTCCTTTACTTTYCTTGCAAATACAATAAAGTGGATCATGCTGAAGGAAAGAAAATCTTTCTGTGACTTTTTTGTGAGGAAAAAGTGCTCCAAAATATTGCAGTCTCTCTCCACCCAAGAATGTAGTTTTATTGCTCAGGCAAAGGCATAAATCATTTCTACAGCCCCTCTTAACCCCTTGCAGGCACTTAGACTCAGATCTTACCATTTCTTCCAAGGCTGTACCTAACTAAATTGTGGGAATGAAGTCCTGTCCTTTGTTAGAGTAAATACTAAGCCATCCATTTACTTTGTGGGGCATAAGATTTACAGCCTGTTTATGAAAGATAAGAAAAATCAGGCTTTGAAATTCCCACTGACAAATTCTGCAGCAGTGGAAATATTAGCTTTTCTCTTCTACTTATTCACACTAGGAATTAATTCTGGTTTACTTTGCYCTAAACCCTGTTTACTTTCTGTTTTCCAGCATTGCTATCAGCTAGAAATTACCTTTCACCTTAGAAATGTATTTTTTTCTATTTCTATGCAATAGTATATATTAAAGTGTGTTAAGTGCTTTTAAGCCATAGACTGGCAGGTGCTATATAAATATTTGTCTTTGTTATGATTGCCTAAAGCAGAAGACTCAGAGGTATATGAAAGAAAAAAATAAAATAGCCCCAACTTCTACCCTTAGATTTTACATTTATTTCATAATCAGTTCAGAAAAAAAATCTCTCACAGAAAGAAAATATTTAAATTGCCTTGCAGCACAAAACAAGGATAATTTCATTCATGTTAAATTCCAAGATTTACACTCCCTGGTGTTTTCATTTTGAAATGACCTTCAAAACAGTTTACCCCAAAAAGTGTAACTGAAGGGTTTCATCAACAAAATACCCTTTTTTATTTTCTTCTTTGCAA